TCAAAGGCCAAGGCAGCAGCCGCTCGCCAACCGCTCGAGCCCATCACAGCCGAGACCGTACACCGCTTTCACGGCCGCATGCCACCCAGTAAAGCACATGGAGTTGACGCCCTGGGACCTCGCGACCTCCATCGACTACCAGAACCAGCAGTCGAAGCCTATGCGGATATCCTCAACGCAGTAGAGCAAGCAGGCATCTGGCCACTACAAATTTCAGGCACTATTGCAGCTCTCGCCGCCAAGAAGTCTGGAGGCGACAGGGTCCTCGGCATGCTACCTCATATGGCCAGACCCTGGTCTCGCATCAGATCGACTGCATCTGCATCCTGGACCCAAGGTCTGGACGACTTTTGGACTACAGCCATCAAAGGCTCCTCAGCTCTCCAGGCCGCCCTACATAGGGCCTTGTTAGACGAGACAGCCTCAGCACTTGGAATACAGTCAGCCACGTTGCTATTAGACATCCAGAAGTTCTACGACAATATCAAGCTCGCCAACCTCATTATGGTCGGCCTCAACTGCGGCTTTCCCCCCACCATTCTACTACTGGAAGTACAGCTATACCTGGCGCCCAGATTCTTGCGCAGTCGACAATGGGTCAGTATGCCTATCTTCGCCTCCAAAGGCATCGTTGCAGGCTCCCCTCACGGCACCACCTTGGCACGACTCATCTTGCTTCCTATTCTACGGCAAGCCCAAGCTCAGGCAGAGCTGGCTCAGATGTGGACCTTCGTTGATGACACTGTTCTTCGAGTCGAAGGGGTCCTACGCACTCTACAGAAGCACCTCCCCCGTGCCGCCAAGACGCTCTGCGACGGTTTAAAGGAGTTCGAGCTGCCTATCTCAGACAAGACTGTCCTCATCGGCTCCACCCCCAAGGTCCGCAAATCGCTAGCCAAGAAGTTGCGGCAGTACGACATCCCAGTTACTGCGACCGCCACGGCCGTCGACCTCGGAGTTGACGCGGCTGCGGCTACTAGACGAGTACAAGCCAAAGCCAGGAAGCGACAGAGCTCAGCCGCAGCTAGGTTTCGCAAGATACACCGACTACGGAGCACTGCACAGCAGGCTCGAATCTCAGCAGGACTGTGGCGTACTGGCGCTCTCCCCGAAGGAGTATTCGGTCATCAGGTGCACGGCCTCGCTCGGCACGCTCTACTACGATGGCGGCGTCAGGCCGCCATTGCGGCCACGGGAGCAGCAGCGGGCCGATGCCTCACCTCCCTCCTCGGCGCCACCTTTGACGGCATGGACCCAGGAGTTCCCCTAAGGATCGAATTCATCGAGGCTTGGCTTCAGCACTGGATACGCCACCCGAGCACGCACGCCAGGATCATCAGAGCATGGCCAAGGATCAAGACCACCTTGCTCGCCGCAGGCCCCAAGCTGTGGCGCAGGGTCAAGGGACCCACAGGCGCGGCCATCGCGACCCTGCTCGAGGCCAGTTGGGAGCCGACCTCAGCTACCACGTGGAGGCGTACGAAGGACGGCTACATCGAGGAGTGGAACCTCCCCCCTGCCGATGACCCTGACCTCCTCGACGCCGACATCCACACAGTATTGCAGGACCTCAGCGAGGATTTGCACAGGCTCCTCTGGACTCAGGCCGCTACGCATGACCATGGTGACACGCTGGCTGGAGGTGCGGACATGGTCACTATCCGCATTGAACAAAGGAGGCTCCTCGCAAACGGTGACTTCAGCGACTGGGCCCTCAACAACACCATCATCAGCGGAGGACAATGGACCAGAGACCGCCTCCACAACGCGGGCTACCATATCGACAAGAACTGCGACCGATGCAGCGCGGGAGTTCCTGAAACCTTGTTTCACCGAATGTGGCAGTGCGAGGCGAATGTGGGACCTGAGTTTGAGGCCAGTGACAAGTTACTACCGCGAGCCGTGGCGGGGGTCGATGCCGACCCCGCCCTGTGGCTCCGCGGCATTCCCTCTGTCGCTCTCACTACGCCCGCGTTCGAGCCATTGACTGGGAGGGACGGGTGGGAGTTTGTTGGTGCGGTGCGGGAGGGTCTGCCGCCGTGGGAAGGAGCTCGTAACGCTGAGGGCGAGTTGTTTCTTTTTGGTGACGGGTCTGGCGGAGCCTTTTCCGACGACGTCAGGCGACGGCGTGTTGGTTCTGGCCTCGCGGCCCTCCGATGGGACCCTCCCTCGGCCTCCTGGGCCCTCCACGCGGGCCTCCTCGCCCCCCTCCCAGGCCCCCGCCAGACCGTCCCAAGAGGCGAGTTGCATGCGTTTTGCCTGGCACTGGAGACGTGCCAGCAGGATTTCACGTTTGTTACAGATCACCTAGCCCTGCAGCGCGGCTGGCAGAATGACAGATGTCTCAGACCTGGCAGCCTTAGAGGCAAGAATAAGAATGGGGATCTCTGGCTGAGAATTCGGCACCTCGTGCAGGATCGATCTGGCGGCGGCTCTTCGGTCACGGTGCTCTGGACCCCATCTCACGCCGATCCCCTGACTTTGCATGGTTTCCAACAATTTCTCGCTCTCGGCAACCAGCATGCCGACGAGCTCGCGGGAAGCGCGGCCCACAAGTCGGCCACCCTTGCCCTCCCGCCTGTCCCCAGGACCGACGAATACGACGCTATTGCTGCCATCGTCCGTCAGAGGGCACGACTGATTTTACGTTCCTTAGGCAAGAGTTCAGAGCCTCGAGGACTGTGGCCAGAGAGGCAACCCACCCAGGAGGCAGCCCCTCGCTCTCTGTTGCAGACCGCGATCGCGGCTTCTCAGCACAAATTCGAGCGGTGTGCAGACAAATGGAGATGCCCTGCCTGCCTCATCATCGTTGACGCTTGCCACGTTATTCCAGCTGCCGCCACAGAGTGTGTGCCGCCTTGCCCCCTTCCCGAGTTTGCTGCGTGTGGCGAGGTGCTGTGGTCGAGGGGTCCCCGCGTGATCAGTGGCAAGGCGATTCACCCCTCCCACACGTTGGCCACCATCCCCAAGTGGCAAATGTTCTTCTGTGTGAAGTGCGGCCATACGGCCACGCACCAGGTTAAAAGCCTACTTTTGCCGTGCCCTCTCTCCCACCAAGTGGGAGAGCGCAGGGCCCTGGGACCCACTGGCAAAGGCCTCGAGAACCTCAGCAGGATCAGGCGAGGCCTCCACCCGTCCAGATCGGGTCCCAGCAAGTCAGTGCTAGAGGCTTTGCACGTTTCGGCAGCCGAAGCCGCGATCGGTTCCTACGCGGCGGGTGCTGCCTCCGAGTAAATTGTGAGGCCAGGGGGGCCTGTCGCGGTGGGCCGTGGGATGTCGCCCCCCACGGCCCTCCGAGAAATACTGGATGGCCCCCCTGGCATCTCTGGGTTCCGAACGGACTACGTCCGATTGCTCCACTCCACTCCTCCGCCGTTCCCCCCCCCCCCCTCCCCCGCCCCTCTGCGACCTGCTCCCCCCCGCCCTCTGGCGACCTGGCCGCCGCCCGCGCCCCGCCCCGCGAGCCATGGCCGCTGTGCGCCCTGCCCCCCCCCCGCTGCCGCCGCCCTCCTCCTCCGAGGAGGAGGAGGAGGAGGGCCCCCCTCCACTTCCCGCGGCCCGGGGCGCCGCGCCTCTGCAGCCAGGCCAGGGCGTTGCCGTGAGTGCCGCTCTCTGGGTTCCGGAGGGGCTCGGGCGTTTGAGCTGCTCCGGAGAGGTGCCTACCTCCTCCTCCTCCTCCTCCTCCTCCTCCTCCTCCTCCTCCTCCTCCTCCTCCTCCTCCTCCTCCTCCTCCTCCTCCTCCTCCTCCTCCTCCTCCTCCTCCTCCTCCTCCTCCTCCTCCTCCTCCTCCTCCTCCTCCTCCTCCTCCTCCTCCTCCTCCTCCTCCTCCTCCTCCTCCTCCTCCTCCTCCTCCTCCTCCTCCTCCCCCTCCTCCCTCCTCCTCCTCCTCCTCCTCCTCCCCCTCCTCCTCCTCCTCGTTCCCCCCGCTCGGGGAACCTATTCTCGGGGTGGACAGGCCTCCCACCCTGCCACGTCGATTCGTGATTTGTCCGTCTTCGGTTCTCGAGAGGGCGCTGCGGCCGTCCTTTTCCAGGCTTGCGCCCGCCAGGTTTGGGCCCGAGGTCGTTTTCAGTAAACCACGCTTTGCTAAAGGGGGTTCTGTCCATCCCCGATATTCGTGGCCGAGGCTCGCCATGGCCAGAAATGCCTCTTCGCCCCTGATTCAGCGTTCCTTATGGTAGCACGATCGCGGTATCCGCGACCACGGGGACCTATGGCTGAGTTTGTTGTCGCGCATGTCGTGTGCAGGCGTTGAGCAGGCTGCGGGCAACGCCTGAACGCTGTCGTTGGCCACTCCGGCTGTCTATCACTCCCCCTTTTCTCCTGCCTCCTTCGCCTCCCTCCGCCTCGTCCTCCTCCCTCCTCGTCTGTATTTCTTCTCTTTCCGTCCCTCTCGTTCCGCCTCGCCCCTCACCGTCCTACTCCCCGCCCCCCGCGGAAGAGGAGGTAAGGAAGGGGCGGAGGTGGGGGGAGTGGAGCAGAAGGACGCCAATGTGGTCGGATGAGAAGGGGGAGCACAAGAGGTCCGCGTCACACAGAGTGGGGCGATGACGACGACATGACAAGAGAACAGGGCAGAGGAGGCAGCTCCGCGGGCATTGCTGCCCTAGGGACAGCAGCGACCATCCCCGGGCAGAAGCGTGCATCCCAAACGTCAGTAGGATGTGTGCACAGAAGTATACAGGGGGGGGGGGGGGGGGGGGGGGCGAGCGAGAGAGAAAGAGAGAGAGAGAGACAGAGAGAGATAGAGAGGAAACGACTAACGAGATGGCGGGAGGATGAGAAGGAGGAACAGAAGAGATTACGATGAGGAAGGTGAAACGTATTCAATTGTTTTTGTTCGCCGCCTGCTGTCACAGTCCCCTTGGGAGTAGCAGTCGGCATTGGACACGCGGTAATCGACTCCCCAGCCTCTTCTACTCATGTTCGTCCTCTTATTCCTCATCCTTGTCGTCCCCAATTAATGCCCCCTGCGCAGAAACGATCGTCGGCGCGTCCAGGTCAACGACCTTCTCTTGAACCGCGACTTCAATCACCAGGCGCTTGGAGCGGACAAAGACTGCAGCAGTTACGCCGACACCAGTCATACCAGGTCCCGCCAGGAAGATTGCGTGCCCGGGGGGCTTGTGGCGGGCGTAGCTTGTGCTTTTCTCCAAGCAGAATTTGCAAGGAAGCTTGTTTCGCTGGGAGACAGCTTCAGGATATCCGTGGCATTTTCGCAACGGCACGTTCTGGAAACATCAGTATTTTGTCCGCCCTGCCAGCAGCAAAACTAATCCTCCACACTGGGGTGCGGGAGTGCAACATTTCCGTTCTTGCCCGGAAGGAGGAGGATGAGGAGGAGGTGAAATCTATAATTTCACACGCCGCCGTTAGCAATCCGTTCTTCTGGCTCTCGAGTGAAGTTGTTTGAGTGGAGTCCACACTCCATGCTTTCATTACTTGCCCAGCTGCGTATGCCAATATGCTTCTCGTGCGTCTGCTGCTGCTGCTGCTCCTGATTCTCACTATTCCCCGACATGAGAAGAGGGACAGTGCGAGTATGCGAGAGAGAGAGAGTGGATCGAAGAGGTGGACACTAAAAGTACGAAGCGTGCAGTCAGTAGCGTGTGCGGTCGAATGGCAGTCTTGGCATTGGGCAGTGGCTGTGCTCTCCGTGTGTCTCGGAAAGGTGCTGCCGTCACCGCGCGTGAAGTGCTGCCCGCTCTGAGCGCGACTCCCTCCGTGTTCTTCCGTGGCCGCGCTCGTCCCCTCCCGTTGGCACGGGTGTGCAGCCTGCTGTGCCGCGCTCTGGCTGCTGATCTCTGTGGCTAGTGCCCTCGTTTCGCCGCTGACGAACGTGTCCCAAGTTGCAGTCAGGATGCTGAGATAACGACAACTTTGGGCTCAGGAGGGTTTCTGGTGTGCAGGACTTTCCTTAGACTTGTGCAGGGGAACCGTTTTGCATGGCGCAGGCGCGCGGTGGCCAGACAAGCCACCTCGGTCCTTATTCAGCGCTCTTTGGGTGTCGACGACGACGACGACGTCGAAGACGACGAGGACGACGACGACGGCGGCGGCGACGACGATGACAACGACGGCGACGACGATGACAACGACGGCGACGGCGACGACGACGACGGCGACGACGACGACGACAACGACGACGACGACTGTGTGTCAAGAAGGTCCGGGGTCCTTGGGCGTCGAGCTCGAGGCAGCACGCACAGCATGACGGGGCCGCCGCCTCGTGGTAGTGGGCGCGAAGCGCGCGGCATGGCAAGATGCGTGCACGGAGGGGCGGCCAGCGGAGACGAGCAGACACTTCGCCTAAGTTCGAGACTCAAAACACACGAGATCCCAGCGGAGACGCGCAGACACTTCTCCGAAGTTCGAGACTCACAACACACGAACATACTAACATACTGACATACTGTCCTTGAGGTCGGCGCGGGTTCCTTGCATCGGCGCTGGGCCTCCCTGGCGGCGGGGCCTTCCGGCGCCCCTCCTGGCGCGGTCCGCGCGCCAGTGAGGGGCCCCCAGCGCCAACCAGACAAACCCGCGCGGGCGTCCGAGAAATCCTGGCTATGCCGAGTGTTCTTCCTGCGTGAAGGTGCGGCGGTCAATGGGTAGTGCATCGTGGGCAGGAGGGGGAGGAGGAGGAGGAGGAGGAGGAGGAGGAGGAGGAGGAGGAGGAGGAGGAGGAGGAGAAGGAGGAGGTGAGTGGCGGGGCAATGGACGAATTTGATTGGCCAGGGGCTTGGCAGCCGCGCGCGAACCACAGGGCTGCGGGTCCCCCCTCCCCTGCGCACCTGTGCTGGTTCCTCGCCCTCTCTCCGCAGCGACGCGCGCAGGCCTCGCTCCGCCTCGCCTCACCGCGCCTCATACTTTATTTCCTCCTGCTTCTCCTTCTCCTCCTCCTCCTTCCCTCCTCCCCCCATCCTCCCCCTTATTTCCTCCTCCTGCTTTTCCTTCTCCTCTGCGCTTGCGCTGCCGCCGCCCATCGCGGCACACCCGCTCGCGGGGATCGTGCCCCAGAAGGAGCTCGACCTGCGGCACCTGTGAGGATGTCCGCATGGCGCCACCCCGCCCGCTTCTGCAGCCCCCCCTCGCGCGCTGTGCGCCCCCCATGGGGAGATCCGGTTTCGACACAAGTGATGGGCCCACATAAGGTTACCCCGCCTCTTCCGGTACACCCCTCCCGCGGATCGTCCCCAGAAGGAGTTCCATACCCGGCGCCAGTGTGCGCACCCCCAAAGTGACGCCCCGCCCATGTCGGCACACGCGGAGCGTGATTCGTAGTGAGCGCCAGCGAGGGCGCCCGCGTAGCGCCACCGCCCCCAATTCGGCGAGGTTCTTGCAGGCGTCGTTGGGGAGTTTTGAGGGCCCCGCGGGGACCTCTTGTGGGCCTCTTGGGATCTGATTTGGGTCTCTCTTGGGCCTCCTGAAGCTTCTCGGGGGATCTCTATTGGGCCCCTCTTGGGGCCCTCCTGGGCCTCTCTTCGAGCCCTCTTGAGCCGTCTTGGGGATCTCTTGGACAGTCTAGGGGCGTCGGAAGCCCGAAGGGACGAGAACGCGAAAACCTTGCAACAACAGATGGAACATCGGACATGTGTGCATCTGGGAGCATATGGTACCAAGGGTGCCCACTGGTGGCCACCAGCCGAAAGCCCGGCCTCCTCCTCCAGTTCCCGATTAACCAAGAAAGACGCGATTGAAATCATTATTACTTGATGAACTTCGAACTTTTTGGGAAGCATGTTACGTGAAAGGGAGGTGTCTGCGGGGGAGCATCAGCGCGTTTTGTTGGCGTTTGGCTCAGGCACGCGCGCGCAATATCACTACATGCACGCTTGCTGGTACTAGATTAGGAGAAAAGGGTCTCCATCCTTCTCGTCACCACGTCACACCCCGTACCATCTATGCTCATCTATGTGGCAGCGATGAACTATATGACGTTGCCACGTTGCTTCCGACTTGGTATCGGAGCTGGCTGGCCTCTCTTATGGTTGGCCCCCATATTTGGTTTCAACCTGCTACTCTATGGCACGATCCTTTCGGATCTGCTGAAGCTCCCAACTACGAGTCCACTCCCATTCGCAGTCCGCGATTCCGTGGATATGATGGAGTTTTAAAACAAGCCGACACACAACAGAGCCGACCTGAAAAGTTTTACATATTTCATCGGTAAAACATTGCAAACCGATGGTTCCACGTATTTCCAGTGGCCAGCTGCTCCGAACCATTCAGGCGTGCTTGCCCTGCGCAAGAAGAGTTCGACAATCCATTCATGCATACGGTTGCTATGACGCCGCGCGGAAACGTGCTGGGTCGTCAGCCACGTCGACTGGCCAACTCTACTGACACGGACGCCTTGCGGAAATACTGAGTTCGGCAGGATTGGCTGTCAGCATTCGATCCGCTACCGACTGCCAGCACAGAGGTGGAGGAAGCAACAGCGATGCCATTTTCCCGTATTTGGACCCAGCCGAGAGCTCCCCTTTTTTGCAGTACGTCTTGGATTTAAACGCCTGGCTTGTCCTCACAAGTTCGCGGATGACCCCACAGCATCACTCAACCGCCCTCATGCGACGGCTTGGTGGTCTTGCGCGCGAGATTGCCATGCGCATTCCTCCAGACATCAGCAACGGTGGTGTCAACATACGTGCCGCTCACGCCGACCCGAATCCTATGTGATTTGCATGCTGAGCATGAAGATCGAACGTGGTAAGGATGAGCGATTGCTCACTTCAGCTGCCCAGCTGATCGACTTCCCCGCGTCCAACAGTGCACGGATTGGCGCAACCGGCTAGGGCCGATATGGCGCGATTCAAATTCAACCGGCGGGATTCGGCATACCGAATTTCCAACTCCTCTCCGCTGTCATTTCCCCTGCCCTGGGAGTCGACGCGCAGAGGGCAACGCAGTTACTGCAGCCCCTCAACCACCAGACGTCGCGCATCCGAGCGGAATACGAAGCACCAATCGAGCGAATGCGGTCAGTGGGCCACATCGCCAAGCGCTCCCCAGGACATATCGGTTCTATATTTGGCCGTGGCAGCCGTTGAAGCGGCCCCACATGCCATGCTTACCGCGCTGACGAGTCAGAGCCTGGAAACGGGCAGGGGAACATAATCAGCGTTTGGACAGGCGACGCTTGTGAGGCCCCTGTCTTACAGTCGCGGCCCCAGGTTCTCAAGATCACTCGCAACAGTAACAGCGACCCGTCAACGTGGCGCTCAGGCCGTCAACGCGGCGCTCAGGCCGCGCGGCCGCGGCCTGGACGCACGCGTCCACCCGGTGGGGCGAAGCAAACCCAATGGCATCTGCCTGCCCAGCGGACGACGACTATGATTCGGGTGCCGACTCCCACGCCACCTCCTCCAACCGTAATGAATCGTAAGATTGCGCAGTCGTTCAGCATATCGAAAGCGACTGGCACGCGGCAGAACATCCTCTGTCTTTTAGATCGGCGCGACGGGCGCGGCGGAAACTCAGGGGGGTGGTCGGCGGGGGGGGGCGAGGGTAAAGGCGGGCGTAGACGCCTGAACTGCAGGGCCACTGCAGCATTTGCGCTCACGTTCTCTACCGGTCAGTGCGACGCGACATCTTCCCGCCGAGAAGGCAAACACCGCGGTCGTAAAAGACGAAGGATGGCAGGAACGGCAAACCCCGGGGCCGCGATGGCAAAGTCCTCTGATGCCGCAATTGCGGCAGCGAAAATCACACCACCTCGGGCAAGATTGCCCCGCGCCGACAGGCAGCGGCGCGGGCCAGGGGGCGCGCGCCGACGCCCGCCCTGGCCCATGGGGGGCGCGCGTCGAGCATCCCTCGCCTCGACTCGAGGACTTCGAGGGCACGGGGCCCCTCCTCTTCGCCGCCAGAGGCGGCGCGGGCGACGCCGAGGAGCTGCGGGCGCTCGCGCGCGGTGGTCTTGCCGAGCTCTTGCGGCAGCTGGGCGCCCGCAGCGTCGAGGTCGCGCTCGAGGACTGGCTCTGCGAGAGTGGCGAGAACCGCGTGGCGGAGGCGGACGCGCCACCGGAAGGCGCACGTTCGGTATCGAGAATCGGTTTCGGCGTCGGCGTCATTGGTTTCAGTGTCGCGACGATTGGTTCCAGTATGTTTGGGAATGCCCCGCGAGACTGTTGCGCGACCCCCGCGTCGTCTCCGCGAGCAGAGGAAAAAGGAGAAGGAGGAAACGAGAAAAAGAAAGAGGCCGAGGAAAAAGACTGAGAAGAAAGGGGGTGGAAATAGGCACGGGGAGGGCACGGGGAGAGGAACACATTGCCAGGGGAGCAAGGAGGAGTGGAAGGGAAAAGAACGGAAGGGGCGTTATGGCAAGCCCAGTTGCAGGGCTCATCATCACGAATGTCACCGCTTGTTGTTTGCGTATTCTTGTAACACGAATGAATCGCTTTGGCGCGCATCACAAGATATTCTACAACATGCAGACGTGCTCCAATAGTTGCAATATCTCGAAGAATGCATCCTCACATGCTCAGAAACAAGAACATTTATTTATAACCTCCCTGAAACAAAACATGTTTGGCCAAGCTCGGCACTATTGCGACGGCGCCGTCAATTGGGCCTCCAGGGGCCTGCCCACGCCCGCGCGAGAATGCAAACAAATAAATTCGCTTTTTGGTGACGGACGGCATGCTTAGGATGACAATGGAAGGCGCTTGCCGTTTTTGTTTATCGCGAAGACGCTTCAAGATTTCGGTTTTGGGCTTGGCCTGAATACGTATGATGGTGCGGACTACGACGAACCAAGTTTCGTGCATTCGAATCGCTTTCCTAACGAGGTCTTTCCCAATGTCGAAAGATGAATATTGGTTCTCCCTTGGGATGCGCAATGGAGAAAGGGGTGCTGATATCGATGAAAAACACATTATGCACGTCTCCCGACTGGCCAGATTACCGAAAGCCATTAGGAGTTATAGTTGCGGGATCGACAGAACATGCATTGTGGCTACAGCACCACCTCGAGCAAGCGAATCACTTCTCTGACGCCCCCCCGAAAACCATCGACGGATCACAGGCCGCGCGCGGGGGCGGGCGCGCGCGCGCACGGAAACGCCCGCTCAGCGGGCGCGGCGGCCAGAACGGCTAGAGCCAAAGTTCCGGAGAGGAGAACAAACGATGTGATTGTTCAGCCTGGACGGTTCCTGTCGCCACGTCCGCATTTGCCCTGCAATTCTCGACGGGCGGTCCTCGGTCGCGGGATCAGCGGCGGCGATATCTTTTCGCGGCGGCGGATGCGCAAAACATGCCGTTGAACCAGCGCCCATCGTCATTGCAAACGCCGGCGACGAAGGTGCGAGACGAGGATCTGCAAGTCGCCAGTGGTGGGGGTCGATGTCTCGGTGCCCTCGCGGTCCATGGGCGCGGATGGTCAGGTGTTTTTTTGGCAACCCCGCCCAACCTCATTCTACGACGCGGGCGAGGGCGGCGGCGAAGCGGCGAAGACGACGGCGGCGGGGGGGCGACGGGGGCAGCCGCGCCGGGCGGGGCCGCCGCCAGGGGCCCTGCCTGATGGTGGCCGGTACCCGCCCGGGCGGGGCCGCCGCCCTGGCCGGCCTGCAGTTCGGCTCGACGCTGGTGCAGCAGACGGGCCCCCAGGACGCCGGCGCGGCCACCGCGCGCAGAAGGGGGGCGGGGGGCAGGGGGAGGAGGAGGAGGAGGAGGAGGAGGAGGAGGAGGAGGAGGAGGGGGAGGAGGAGGAGGGAGGAGGGAGGAGGAGGAGGGAGGAGGAGGAGGAGGAGGAGGAGGAGGAGGAGGGTGGAGGAGGAGGAGGAGGAGAGGAGGAGGCGGAGGAGGAGGAGGAGGAGGAGGAGGCGGAGGAGGAGGAGGAGGAGGAGGAGGCGGCCACGCGCAGAGGGGGGAGGGGGGAGGGCTTCTCAGAAGCGCCCCTGGTTCTCAGAAGGCGCGGGCCTGCTCAACAGAGATGCAAGGCCGGCGCTTGCTAAGGAGCAGCCTCCTTCTAAGGAGGCCTCCCTCCTCCCTCCACCCCCTCGTGCACGCCGCCAGCCAGCGTGGGACTCGTCGAGGAGGAAACAGCACATCAGAAGGATACCTCCTCCGAGCTCCGTGCGGAGTTCTGGGATCGGCGGCGGTGGGCCCCGCTCGGCGGCGCCTCAGAAACCGCGTCTCGCGCGTTCCACGCGCCAGAGATGGAGGGCCCCAGCGCAGATGCAGGAAGTCCGCATGGAGCTCCGACAGTTTGTGTGCATGCTTTTCTTGGCCCGGTATGTAGAAGGGAGAGATGCCGATTGCCAGCCAGAAGCGTAGGTCTATCCTCAGGAAAGGCACTGCCATGTCTCGATGCCGACCTCAAGGGCTCCATCGGGTTTGGGAGGGCGCATCCCTTAGACTGTCATCGCCTCTGGGCTTGTCAATCTCAGGGATAGGCAGAAGCTCGAGGCTGGTTGATTAGCCGATACCGCTGCCTCTTCGTCGAAGGCCCTCGTCGTTACGGCTGGATCCGCCGCGGCATGCTGGTCAGGACGCGCCAGTCCTGGGAGCAGCGGAGGCCGTATGTGTCCGTTTCTCCCGGAGGAAGGAACCTGGGCAGGCGGGCGTACTATTCTCCTGCGTCCACTTCTTGGGCGCAGGAGCACCGAGGGTGCCGAGGACGTCAGGCAGACCCGGGGCTCGGGCAACTCCGTCCAACGAGGGGGGGGGGGGCTTGACTTCATCTTCCCCTCGTTGGACCCTCGCTGCAGAACGCTCAGGAGCGACAGCAACGCCCCAGAAGCCCTTTGGATTTGCAGGCTTTTCAGAAATCCCCGAGCTATTCGTCCACTCATTGTGTCCCCGATTGATTCGTATCCAGCACTCATCTACGGAGCTGGAGGAAGAGGAGGAGGATGGGAAGCACGGTCTCGGCGGTCTTGGGAGATTCTGGGGGGGCCTGGGGTGTTCTGAGTGTGATCCAGGGGCCTCAGGGGGTTCCAAAGAGTTCGAGGTGGAAGAGGGCAATGAGTTGGAGGAGAAGGAGGATGAGGGAGAACCTTGAGAGGAAGCGGAGGAGGAGGAGGAGGAGGAAACAGATAAGCGATTGCCGTATTTTCGAGCGGTTCTTAGATCCGAGGCGGGGGGCGTCTTCGTGGTCGAGGCTCGCCGCGGCCAGACGAGCCCCTTCGTGCCCGATTCGCCGCTCCTTCTGGCAGCATGACGACTGCATCCAGCTCAGCCTCCTTGTCCTCCTCCCCCCTCCTCCCCCTCCCTTCGCTTCTGCTCGTTGCTTCCCTCCCTTTCCTTTCCTCCTGCTCCCTGGCTGCTGTCTCCGCCTGGCCCGTCTTCTGCCTGCCCGCCCGCCCCGCCGGCCCTGGCCTCCCGCCTGGGCGTTCGTCGTCGTCTGCCTGCTTCTCCCCTCCTCGTCCCCTTCCGCTGGACAGCACAGCCTGCCCGGCACCAGCGTGGCGGCATATGGGGGCCTGACAAGCTGGTCTTGGTGGCTTCCGATTTGCTTGCTCTAAGCTTATGATGTTCCAACCTACTTTCGCCTTGGCCACCAGAAAGAATTTCGAGCAACAAGAAAATACCGAAACTGGAGGGTCTTCACGTGTCGGCCCTGGGCGGCGATACTCGTTCGACACTGTTTCGATACTTTGCTGGGTGCTCGAAATTATTTATCGGATGGGGTCCTCAAGTACGATGGGAACAACATAATTCCGAATGACGAACACAACTACGAATGTGCACTGTATGAACTTGATGCGCGTGAAAAAAAAACAACTGCCATGCACAACGGCCTGAAATCAGCGCGCACCGGCAGCAGCCTGCTTCCGACGCGCAGAATCACAAGAGCGTCCATCTACCCCCGGATGCCTCCCCAATGGCGGCTGCATCGCCGAGGTCATCCCTTGTTACATTCGCAGCTGCCGTGTCGGCATAACCAAAACATATCTCATACTATGTGTACGTCGGCCCCGCAGGGGCTGCGCGCGCTCAGGAATCGTATAGTATGAGTTGCGCGGCGGGCATTCTCTGGCCAGGCCGCCTGGATAGCGGTGCGAAACAATAGCTGTGTGCTGCATGCTCAGGCGAGACGCGGGTCTCCAACACAAGCACGTTGTGACAGTGCGTAACAGATAGAACTTGGCACACGCCATCGCACCTGCTAGCGCGTGCGTTATCTCCACAGGTCAGGGCTAGCCGACTTTCACAGAGTGCTATGCTGAGGGGTCACTGAGATCCTCGTGGTGCCTCTTCGATGGAGGACTTCATCGAACCTACAAGTAACAACTGTCCCGCGTACGATTTCAACGGGGCCAGCTACAGCGACTCGTGCACACATCTTGTCTCGCGCGTGCCTCTCTGGGCCAAGCCCGTCTGGAGCCGCGCGGAGCGCCTCCCAACGGGCCGTCTGGATGTCGGACCCCCCCCGCGCTGTTGGCCTGCATGGCGCCTCCCACGAGACGACCCAGTACCATGCATCGGGGCCCCGAGCCGAGAGGCCCGAGAAGGCCACTGAGGAGCCGAGCGACGTGCTGGGCAACGGCATGGCGAAGCTGGTAGTGGGCCTCGAGCACGGGACGCGACGCCGGGCAGCGTGGCCGGCCGCACGTTCTGTTCGTGGGCGAGGGCAGCGCGACGAAGCCTCTCCAGGTCCACGGAGAGACAAGGCGAGCAGCTCGACTGGGAAGGCCAGGGTCCACCCTGCGTCGCCCAGGTGTTCGTGTGCATCGCGCAGGTGGCCATCGACAGGGCCTCGGCGAGGGGAGACCCACCCAGCGAGCGGGGGCCACCCGAGCGCTCCACGAGTTGTGGGCAGCAGTGGTCGACGGGCAGCATCCTCTCAGCAGCTGGCCCTGTTCGTGCTGCAGCGCAGGTGCAGGAGAGGTCGGCCAGAGGACGAAGCCAAGGGAGTGCTTGGCATCGCCCTCAGCACCCAGGGTGTGGACGTCGCCAGGGCATTGGGGCCGATTTCTTCTGGAAAGCCTGACATCGGTGGAGAAGGCGGCGTTCGATCCAGGACCTGCACCCAGGGGCTCCCGACGGAGAGGTGGATCAGTTCGCAGGTCAAGTAGGTGATGCGGAGAAGGCGAAGGTTCACGGTCGGGCTTTTCCTTCACAGTGCCGAGCGTTCACACTCGGGGTTTTCTCTTCCCGTCATGGTGTGAGCCATCTATCTAACCGTGCTGCCCAGAGAAGTGCCACTCAAGTATGTTCTAGTTTAGGGCAGGACAGTGAGCCAGGTGCAGTTGTGACTCGTGCAGCTCTGCCCCATCGAATTCTGAAGTTTTGCAGTTGGCTGACTCTGATCATCTCATGGGTTTGATTGCAAGAGGCGTTGTTCCCAGTGGTGCGTTGCAACAGGGTCGGTCGATTACGACACGTGCCTCCCGCGAGCTCACCGCCATCCCGACGGCGATTGCTCCTAGCGCTGTGCCAACGCACGGCAAGGGGGGAGTAGGGGTAGGGGTCGTGGCCGTCATCGTGAGGGCCGCGAGGGCGGTGGGGAAGGGGGAGCTGCGTCAAATTCGCACTTCGGACGAGATCCTACTCCTCATGCTCCTTCGACCCCCCCCTCCCTTGGGCAGGGACCCGGGAGGGCTCCAGCTTGCCCCACCAGACTTGCCCGAAAAGGCGCGGAGCAGTCTCTGGTCCCCGACGCAGGGCACCCTCCTGGCTGCGCGCCGTCCTGGGGGGGCGCCCTGTAGGGGGCCGCGCCGGCAGGGCCCGACTGGCCACCTGCTTCTGAGAGCGAGGTCAGCAGCTGCAGCAGCGCGCAAAGTTTTTGGCGATCGATTGCCGACTCGATCAGGATGAGAACCACTCTGATGTCTTGTCATGTCTTTCTCCTCCTCCTCCTCTTTCTCCTCCCCCTCGTCTCCTGCTCCTCCTCCTTCCTCCTCCTTCCTCCTCCTCCCCCCTCCATCCCCCCTCCATCCCCCCTCCTCCTCCTCCTCCTCCTGCTGCTGCTGCTGCCGCTCCTCCTCCCCCCCTTCTCCTCGGGCACCAGCTGCTGCTCGTCGGTCTCCTCCAGGTGGGCCGAGCATACGGCGTTGCACACCGATCGACGCCGCGCACGCTGCGGTATCCCACGGCGCAGTGATCTCCGCCAGGCACACCCTGCGTCGCGCGTCCCATTCCGCTCCGCTCGCGGCTCGCGGCCGTGGCGAGTCCGAGACTGTCCGTTCAGGCCTGGTCATTGCCATCCCTGCTCTGGTCCACGGCCACGCTTCGGACGGAGCCAGATCGATGATGAATCCGTTCCAGAGCGTTCCAGAACGCTGTCGGGGCGTTCCAGATCGCTCGGAGAAGGCCGCGCCGCCCGAGACATCCTCCAGCTCCGCCGGATCTCGGAGGTTTTCGATGTAGCTCCACCCGATGTTGTCCTCGTGCTGGCCGCGTCTCGACGACGCCCTCTTGCCCACTGCCGTCGCGCCCTGGGCTCGCCTCGTCACCGTCCTGGTCCACGGCGCCGCTCGTGTGTTCCTCGAGAACAAGAGAGCCCCCAACCCCTGATGACAAGATGAAGAAGTGGCCTCGCTGGGTCACTGGGGCCCCCCTCTTTGCACTGGGGATGCACCCTGCTTGCCTCCAGGGTGCCCCTGGGTTTCTTGGGCTCCGAAGGTTTTGCGATGGAGAGCGCGATGTTCCCGCACCGGAAATCAGTGGACGTCCTGGGATCTCAGGGTTGGGTTTCTTGTGGAAGGCTTCTTGTGGCCCGGCCCCCACTGTAGATCTGAGAGGGCACCGAAAGCGCTCCTCCGTCCGCGGCGCCGCCGTCGGCCCGGGAGGGGCGCAGGTCTCGCGCTGGCGGGCGCTGCCGCGCAGGCAGGCCGTGTGGTGCGGCGGGGCGCAGGGCTCGGCGACGCCGAGGAGCTCGGCCTCGCCCGGACGTGCGCACGTCTGCCCGGCCCGGGTCGTCGACGAGCACGGTGGGCCATCCTGCGCAGACATGCGCACACGAAGCCGAAACATGCACGGGGAGGGGACGCCCGAGCGATGGCAAGGGAGGCTCTTCGGGCGTCTTCGGCGGCCATCGCCGGCCTTCCAGCTTCGGGATGATGCCGCGCCTCGTCGAGAGCTTTCCGGGGGTGCGCGGAGCGCTCGGACGTTTCCGGACGTCTTCGTCGGTTCCCGGCGGTCTTTCATATTCGGGGTGCTCTCCAGAAGCCGCGCCTCGTCGAGAGCTTTCCGGGGGTGCCCGAGTCGTCCTGGACACCTGTCGGAGGCACGGCTGTGACCCGAGGCCTCCAAGCGTCGAAGAGGGAGGCGAGGACCCGGTGTGTGTGCGTGTGTGCGGATGATCTCGTGGCCAGGGCCGCGAGATCTCCCAGACATCATGGCCCCCCCCTCTCCTCCCTTCCGTACTTCCCCAGCCCCCCCCCCTCCCCGCCCGCGCGCACGCCCCGGACGACCACGGTGCGCCAACGCCCCCTCTTCCTCCTTGCCCCCCTCGTCGGCGTGCGCTGTGGCGAGTGGTGTACCCCAATGGGATCGCCGCGCCGCGCGGGGCCGCCGCAGCGCGCCCCGCGGGCGCCGAGCTTCCGCAGGCCAGCAGCCCCGAGGCCGGAGCGGGGGCGGCCTCGGCGCACCCGTGGGGGCGCGAGGAGGAGGAGGAGGAGGAGGAGGAGGAGGAGGAGGAGGAGGAGGAGGACCGCGGCAGTCCGCCCCTGGAGCGCCGCCGTGCTGCACGCGGCCGCGGCCCTCCGCGCTCGCCCCCCCCTCCGGGGGGGGGGGGGGTCGACGAGGGCAGATGGCCTCTGAGAAGCCCTCCTGGGGGCAGGAGCAGCAGCAGCAGGAGGAGGAGGAGGAGGAGGAGGAGGAGGAGGAGAGGAAGGAGGAAGAGGAGGAAGCGAGGAGGAGAGGGAAGGTCATGATGATGATGGTGATGCTGATGAGATGATGCTGATGAGATGAGATGATGATGATGATGATGATGACGATGAGAGATGAATGCGAAGCAGACGACGACGATGATGATGATGATGATGATGATGATGATGATGATGATGATGAGATGATGATGATGATGATGATGCCTGATGATGATGATGATGATGATGATGATGATGATGATGATGATGATGATGATGATGATGATGATGATGATGATGATGATGATGATGATGACGAGGAGGAGGAGGAGGAGGAGGAGGAAAAGGTGGTTGAGGAGGAGGAGGATGATGTTGCTTTCCTTCAACACTGATCATGCCTGCCGCCTTCACTCAGCAGGAGAAGTATCAGGTACCATACTTACCAGTTGTTTTGGGGTGCTTGCCCTGCGTGTTGGGCGCGTGCAAACACCAGCCAACAAGCTGAGTGGACCCATGCATGCGATGGCCTTGCACAGCACACGGATACAACAAAGGGGATTCCTCTCGCTTCGCGGCGTGCACGTCCGGAGCACGTGCAGTCCAGACGTTGTGGAGCTTGGTGGAAGGCTCTTTTGGGCCTCTTGTAGGCCACTTGTGGGCTTCTTGGGCCCTCTCAGGGGCTTCTTTGGGGCCTCTTGGGGCCTCTTTGGGGCGTCTTGGGCCGACTTGCGGCGCTCTTGCGCAGTTTGGCTCCATCGGAGGCCATCCTGTGGGCCTCTCGCGGCCGCCTTAGGGTTCTCTTGGGGTCCTCTTGGGCCGTCTTCGGGTATTCTTGGACCGTCCTGGGGGCCTCTTCGGGCCGTCTTGGGGCGGCCGTGTTGGGGTCCTCTTGGGGGCCTCTGGAGCAGTCCTGGGACAATTTTGGAGGCTGCTTGGGCCGTCATGGACCTCGAAGGATAGAAAGAGACGAGAACGCTAACATCTTCCGAAAACCCACAGAAAAACTACGAGGCTGGCCTCTGGAGGCGCTCTTGGGGGTCCTCTTGGGGCCCTTCGGGGCCTTCTTGGGAGCGTTTTGGGCCCTCTTGGGGCCATTTTGGGCCGTCTTGGGGTCGTCTTGGCCAGTCTTGAGGCCATCTTGAGCTGTCTTGACGCACTCTTGGATTCCCAAATGGCCCCAGGGGCCCGAATCATAGATATTCCATCGGTTTTTCCTCACATGTTTCGTTGGGTTCTGGTTTTCTTCCCTGCCGCCGCGTCGCACCCGCGTCTCACGCCTCCCCTCCTCCTCCTTCCCCCCTCACCCACGCGCAACACATGCACGGCATGTACATGAAACACGCGTGTACATACAGCCCCTCGCATGCACGCGCCCGCATATATACACCTACGCACACACACACACACACACGCACACACACAAACACATACACACACACACACACATACGCACGCACGCACGCACGCACGCACGCACGCGCGGACGTACGCACGCACGCACGCACGCACGCATGCACGCACGCACGCACGAAATCACGCGCACAAACACAGGGACACAAGCACGCACGCACGCACGCACGCACGCACGCACGCACGCACGCACACACACACACACATACACACGCACATTCACACATACACACACGCACACCACACACACCACACACACACCACACACACACACACCACACACATACGCACACACACACACACACCACACCATACAATGCCAGTGCACGCCTGGCGTGTTCACTGCATCATACACCCAGCACGGATGCTTGGAAAGTGTGGCATTTGTGGCAGTTTCTTGACACTATGAGGGGGTGCGCAGGGGTGGTCTCTGAACGCAGCCTATATACATTCCAGACTCGGGAAGTGTGGTAGGCGTGGCACTCGACACCAGAGGGAGTGCGCAGGGGGTGGTCTCTGAGCGCGGCCTCTATACGGTCCAGGCTCGGAAAGTGTGGCAGAGGTGGCAGCTTCTTGACACCAGAGGGGGTCTCGACACCATAGTCAGGGGGTGCGCAAAGGGGTTGTCACTGAGCGCGTTCTCTATACGGTCCAGGCTCGGAAAGTGTGGCAGGCGTGGCACTTTCTAGACGCCAGAGGGGGGTGCGCAGGGTGTAGTTGGTGAGCGCGGTCTCTATACAGTCCAGGCTCGGGAAGTGTGGCAGGCGTGGCAGTTTCTTAGGGGGTGGTCTCTGAGCGCGGCCTCTGTACGGTCCAGGCTCGGAAAGTGTGGCAGAGGTGGCAGCTTCTTGACACCAGAGGGGGTCTCGACACCATAGTTAGGGGGTGCGCAAAGGGGTTGTCACTGAGCGAGGTCTGTACTCGGTCAGGGCTCGGAAAGCGTGGCAGTGGTGATTGCAGTTTCTTGGCGCCAGAGGGGGGTGCGCAGGGGGTGGTTTCCGAGCGCGGTTTCTATACGATCTAGGCTTGGACAGTGTGGCAAGGGTGGCAGTTTCTCGACACCAGACGGGGTGCGCAGGGGGTGGTCTCTGAACGCGGTCTCTATGCGGTTCAGGTTTGGGAAGTGTGGCAGGGGTGCAGAGGGAGTGCGCAGGCGGCGGTCCCTGAGCGCGGTCTCTATACGGTTTGGGCTCGGAAAGTGAGGCAGGGGTGGCAGTTTCTCGACGCCCTCAGGGTGCTCCCAACGCTTGACCGGCGTCACCAGCGGAGCGGTGTCGGCGGGGCAACGGCCACCAGCATCATTCTCGCATGTTTCATTTCAGCTATCATCATTCCAGAAATAATATAAGTATGTGGGCGGTCGAGTTTTTTCTTTTAACGTTCGGCCGATGTGGCGTTTCCCCTGGGGGGTCAGGGGGGCATACATAATAATGGAACATATCACGAGATGTAGACATGATGCAATCATTGGACACGTTGGATCCATTGCGTTACAGCATCCGTGGACCTGCCTCGGGCAACGCGTCACTTCCGGACGTGGATTCCTCGCTTCGCGGGGTGCACGTCTGGAGCACGTACAGTCCAGTCGTTGCGGTGCCTCTTGGAAGCTTCTTGGAGGCCTCCTGGAGGTGTCTTGTAGGCTTCTTGGGGGCTCTTCTGCATTGGGCTTTTTGAGGCCTCTTGGGGCCTCTTGGGGGCTTCTTGGGCCGTCTTGGGGCGCTCTTGCGGCGTGTGGCCCATTCGGAGGCCAGAATTCAAGATGCGCGCGGTGCTCGGCAGTGTTTATGAGAGAAGCGGTGTACAGCTCCCAGCGTGACAAAGCAGACTTGCTCTGCCCCGCTTGCTGGCGGGCAGAGGAGGCGTCGCGAAGCCGGTCCAGACTTGTAATCGCCGCTGTGCGAGTGTTCAAATGTGGAAGGTGTGGGCGTTTGTTGGCGTGACCTTCTCGGCTGCCGCGCGTGCGCGCCGCTCCGTCCTGCCATCCCCACGGCTTCTGGGCGGCCTCACGGGGGGGCTCTTGGGAGCCTCTTAAAAAGGCTCGTGGGGGTTTCTTGGGGCGCCTTTGGGGCCGCTTTGGGGCCACTTGGGGTTTCTTGTTGACGTCTTGCGCCGGCTTGGGGCGCTCTTGCGCCGTCTGGCCCTTTTCGGAGGCCATCTTGGAGGCCTCCCGCGGCCGCTCTAGGGCTCTCTTGAAATCCTCTTGGGCCGTCTTGGAGGTTTCCTGGATGTCTCTCTGGGAAGTGTTGGGCCGTCTTCGGGCAATATTGCGCCGTCGAGTCCGTTCTGAGGCCGTCTTGGGGGCTTGTCGGGACCGCCCGGGGGCTCTCGACGAGTCCTTTTGGGCCGTGTTGGGGGCCTCTTGGGACGTCTTGGGAACCTCTTTGGGTCGTCCTGGGGTCCTCTTGGGCCGTCTTGGGGGTCCTCTCGGGAACTTTGTGGGTTGTTGTGGGGCAGTGTTGGAGGCTGCTTAGGCCGTCATGGGCTTCTGAGTCGAAAAAGGAGAAGGCGGTACAATCATACAAAAACTGTATGAAAATCAAAGATTTAAGCTTCTGGAGGCGCTTTTGGTGGTCCTCTTGGGGCCGTCTCGGGCCTTTGGGGGGCCTCATTGGGCCCCCTCGGGGCCATCTTGGGCCGTCTTGGGGCCGTCTTGGCCCACACAACGGCCATCCTGAACCGTCCTGACGCCCTTGTGGCCCCCCAAGAGGCCACAGAAGCCGAACTCATCGATTTTATATAGGTTTTGGTAGGTTTTTGGGCCCCAAACGGGGGTCGCCAGGTTGGGTCGATGGATGTGGCGTAGCCTCTGGGGGGGTAGGGGGGGAGACATAATAATGTAACACAATCCAGTATGTATCAATGCAACAACTATGGGACAACATTGGGTGCATTGCATTATCGCCTCCGCAGAAAACGCTGCCGCTCAGCACGTCCCTTCCGGACGTGGATTCCTCTCGCTGCGTGGGGTGCACGTCCGGAGCACGTACAGTCCAGTCGTTGTCGGGCCTCTGGGAACTTCTTGGGGGGCCTTTGGAGGCCTCTTTGGGGCCTCTTGGGTCCTCGCGGGGTCGTCTGGGAGGCCTCTTGGGGGCCTCTGAAAGGCCTCTTGGGGGCCTCTCGGAGCCCCGTGTGGGCGCTTTGGGGGCGCTTTTGCGCAGTCTGGTCACTTCGGTGATTGTCTTGTGGTACTCTTGGGCCGTTTTGGGGGTTTCTTGGGGCATCTCGGCGGCCTCTTTGGGCCGTTTGGGGGCCACTTCGGAGGCTGTTTTGGCCGTCCTGGACCTCTGAGAGTCGAGAAAAGCGGGAACGCTGATTTTTTGTATAATAAAAAAAAACATAGGGGAATCAAATGTTTGGGCTTCTGGAGGCGCTCTTGGGGGTCCTCTTGGGGGTCCTCTTGGGGCCTTCTTGGGGCCTTGTTGGGCCTCCTTGGGGCCATCTTGGGCCGTCTTGGGGCCGTCTTGGCCCGCGCAGAGGCCATATTGAGCATGGAGGCGAGCAGAGGAGCCACGGCACGGCGAAGGACAAAATACCGCGGCTGGGGCACAGCGACATGGAGTGCGCGAGTTTGCTGGGGTGGATTCCGCTTGCCATGGCCATGCCAGTTGCTTTGGGGGGCCACTTCGGCCGGTCGAAGAAACAGCTTCTGCGGGGGCGCGCGGCGAAAAAACGTGGTTGGGTTCTACGAGAGGACGAGGTCGTGGGGAATGGGGACGAGGAGGTATTGTTGCAGCTGCAAAGAGCAACTGTGTCAGACTTTCATGCAAGGGCATGGCGCCATCCGGGCTGGGAAAGGGTGGGGCTCTATCCAATCGCCCCATGGAAAAAAAACGCCAGTGGTATTTGGGCGGGCATTGCAAGCATTACGCGTGGAGAGTGAGGCGCAAGCATTTCATGATCACGCCGTCGTCGGCAGTGGCGGCGCGCGCCGCGCAAGGAGCGATTGCGGGCTCAGCGATAGCGGAACTTTAGCGAGGACGCGGCGTCAGTTGGGCGTCCATGTGCGCGGCCATCGCGCGCGCGCGCGACGGCGAAGGAATTTGTGGATCTTCCGGCCTGATGATAGGTAGCCGCGCAACGAAGGCGAGATGGCGGGCGCAAAAAAGTTGCCCCAGGTTCTTCGAGGGGAGGACGTGGACTGGGAAGAGTGAGAGGCGCAGCTGATGCCGCGAGACGAGCGCGGACGGTGCCGGCGCAGGCTGCTTGCGGAGGCATTCACGAAGTACGTGTTCCAGAGGCATGGCAGGCCAGCGTTTCGGAGAGAACGCCCGGTGATAATGACAAACGCAGAGGAAAAATGGCGCGCGACGTGCAACGCATGGGTGACGGGAATCGAAGTCGCAGGTCGGCAACCTCGAGGGCGGCGATTAAGAAGGGCGCGCGGAGGAGCGCAAGGACGTTAGGGCGATGTCTTGCGCGAGGTGCGCGGGCGTGAAGGTTCGGCGGAAGTCGCGGGTTGGGAACGCAGAGTGAGTGGAAACCATGGAAAGTGTGCGATGTTCGAGCGTAAAGTGTCGGGCAGTTTTCGTCGCAGTTGCCGAAGCGTCGGAACGCCAGAACGCGGCCGAGCGCAGCGGTGCAAGATTGCGCAAGGACTGCGCAGAGGAAGAAGGGAAAGCGGCGCGGAGAGCGAATGCCGAAGCGGCGAGCCGAACAAAAGAAAGCAGAGGCGGAAGCGAAGCCGCTGACGCGTTGCGCGCACGGCTGCGGGAAAACATTTCGGGGCGCGGAGCGTTTGAAACCCGAGCAGGTGAAGGGGCATCGAAGAGAGAGGAGCGTTACAGCGATCTGTGGAGAGTGTGAGTGGCGGGGCGTCGCCGCGAAAGGCGTCGCCGATGCAGCGAAGCGGCTGAGGCGAGAGCGGACGCGCGCAGCGCACGAAAATGCGTTCCTTCGGCAGGGCCACGTCAGCAACAGGCAAGAGAGTGATCACTTAGCGAGGAATATTGGAGTTGTATGCGCGGATTGCATTGCCGTCGGTTTGGCGGCGCGCAGTTGGCAAGCGTGCGACTGTTCCGGCGCCTACAAGCGAAATTTGTGACATCTCAGTTCGCGGTTGGGCCGCATTTCGCGCGTGCCCGCCAGAACCGCGCGCTGGAGCGCAAGGCGTGCGCGCGAGACCCGCAGAAACGCTTGCGGGAGCGCGCGAATGGTCGGAACGGCACGGGGGGAACAAGAGGAGGATTGGGGGCTATGGAGAACGAGGAGGACAGGACGGAAAAGGAGGAGAAACGGTAGGTAAAGGAGGAGGGGGAAGAAAAGGGGTAGGAAGAGGAGGAGGAGGAGGAGGAGGAGGAGGAGGAGGAGGAGGAGGAGGAGGAGGAGGAGGAGGAGGAGGAGAGCAGGAGGAGGAGGAGGAGTGGAAGAGGATGAAGAAGTGGATTCGTTGGGGGGCTTTTCAACTAAGGCGTCGACGGCCGTTCGGGGGATCAGGCCACCCCAGGGACCGCATGTATCACTCGTAAAAGGCAGGCGGCAACAGAAGGAGGGAGCGGGAGCCGCAAAGAAAAGAAACACAACAAGACATTACGGGACAACGAAATGTTTCAAGGTTTTCGGTCCATCGTGTTCTGTTCCGGGTCGGTGTCTGAAGGGTGCTTTTCGGGGTCTCTTCGGGCCGCTCGCTAGGGACTGGAGGCCTTGTTGGGAGCCTCCTGGGAGCGTGTGGCGGTTTTTTGAAACGCCTTCGAGGTTCCCTGGCTGACTTTGGGGGCCTTCTAGGGCCTTCTTGGGGCAACCAGGGGCCGTCTTGACGCCAGATGCTCGGTATGTTTACTCGGGTTCCCCATCTGGACTCTTTATTTGGACCGTCCTGGGGCTCTCTTGGGCTGTTTTGTGAGCTTATTTGGCCGTTTTGGTGCCCTCTTGAGCTCTTGGGGGCCTCCTGGGGCTCTCCTCGGAGCCTCTGTTGGTGACTTGGACGTAGTGAAGCCCAAACTGGCGGATGTGCTAAAAATCTGCGGTCTTCCGAGGCAGTGGGACGATGTTGCTTCCGGGGGTCATCATGGAACAGGACGCCCCAGCTTGCGGCATCTGGAAGCCATCTCGGACGTATTGGGACGATTTGTCGGCGACTCTGGGTTTTCTTGGACCGTTATTGGGGGGCGCGCTGGGAGGCCTTACAGGCTGTTTTGGTGCTCCAAAGCGAGCACGGGAAGGCCGGACCCACCCTGATGTGTTCGGGGATGGACCGTCCCAGGCTGGGGGGGGGGTCGAATTTCCAATTTGGGGTCCCGGGGGGGTAGCGGGAGGGCAAATCGGGGACATGCAACACAGGTCTGCGCATCTTGAAGCAAGTTGAACAGCGCCAGTCAGTTCGCCACCATTCCCAAACATGTTCGGCAGAATTAACCCCGAGGAGGAAGAGGGGCTCTGGGATTGGGCTTTTGGCAGGTCCAAGGACCGTCCTTGAGGTCCAGAGCGGGCCACAGGAGCAGGAGGCGGGCCGCCAGAATAACGATAGCCTTGCCAGTCTTGACCTGCCTGGAAATACCCTCCATCTCCGCTGGAGACGCCTGAGGATGGGACAAAATGCCTGCCTTCGCTGCGGTGTCAGCAGCGTCGTTCCCGAATGTATCCCATCTCTGGGACCTGTGTAAGACTGGTATCGTCAGAAGAATTCTCAAGCAGCGGGGACTGGGCAAGTGTCATCGTACGCGAGTGCATTCTTTTCTGCGAAAAGAGCTCCAGAGGAGGACGAGGAGGAGGACGACGACAAAGATCCTCCCTCCTTTCTTCCTGCAGAGGCTCCTGGCGTCCCCGCCGCGTCGTCGTTCCCATCCATCTCTCTCGCTCTCGCCTTTTTTTTTTTCTCTCTCTCTCTCTCTTTTCGCCCCTGTCCCGGTGGCGTACTGCGAGTTTTGATCCCCTCCTCTCGGCGTTCGTCGAGGGAGCAGCAGGGTTCGAGGGTATCTCGGTCTCCCGACTAGCCGATCCACATCGCTGCAGGCGCGAGAGGGGAGGAGGCGGGAGGGCCAGGGCGAGGGCGAGGGCGACTGCGGCGAGGGCGAGGGTTCGGCCACGCCCGTCCACCACGAGCGGCCCCTCTGGCGGAGGGGGCTGGCGGCGTTCTCGAAGGATGACAACTCGATAGACCGCCGCGGCACCGTCGTCAAGGTGGCGGCCGTCGGAGGGGAGTCCCCCTGGTTCTGTTCGACGGCGACGGCGCCGAATGCTCGGGATGTGGGGCCTGGCCCCCCGTTTCAAACGCGCCGCCGAATCTTCCCAAGGCAAGCGCCCGTGAAACGCACTCCCTCACACCTACTTGCCTACCCCGTTATGCTGCCGGTCTCCTCAGTTTCTTCACTTGGACTCGCACCCCCCGCCGCCCACACGCTCGCAAGTACAACGAGTGCGCCGCGACTCGACAGCGACAGCCGCAGTGTCCTCACCTGCACACTTGCATTGGGCAGCCTTGTCCCCAGCAGGCACTGCGCGCCTATACGCTGCTTGCCTACTAGTTCTGTGCACTGTTATGCTCGTCTTGCGCGCTTCCTCATACAGTGTTTGTTCTAGGGGCTCTTATTCAAGAGGTTTACCTCGTTCCGCCGACCCCCATGACAGTGACTTCGTCAAGAGTCGTGCCGCCGTGCTTGACCTGTGGGTCAGGAGCCTCGGGGTCGCATGAGGGTCTCCTGGAATGTCCCTCAGGGGGGCCCTGGGAGGGCTCTTGGGGCATCGGATTGGCCTTCGGGGGCCTCTCGGGGGTCTTTTGGGGGCCTCTTGGGTATTTCCTGGGTCCTGGGAGACTCTGAGGGCCTCCTGGGGGCGCCTCGGGGGTCACTGGGTTGTCAGTGCCCAACGCTTGGTGTGCTGCATGCTCGTGTGCTGCTTAAGCCAATCCTGTCCTGATATCATTCTCGTCAAATCAGTGCAAACGTTCAAAGGAATATTCAATGGAATAGTTTCAGTTGCAGCATGCGGGTTTCTCCACGCGTCCATGTCGGTCCAGTCGAGCCCATGCGAAATAATGAACAAGCATATTACGACCATCATGAAGCATACGGGCAGATGGAGCGCGAAGCCTAACAAGAGAGTGGTGAATTGGAAATAATGTGGGCAAATGCCACGGAATAACACTGCGTGGCTTGCCATGTTCGCAAGCCTCTAGAATAGCAAATGGCTCGAGGAACGGCGGTTGTACAAGAGCGTCGGTTCTGAAAGCCGCGCTCGTACTCGTGCCGCCCTGGTCGTCCGTCGTCGCCCTCCAGCTTGGCATCGCTCTGCGTGCCGCAGTCTATGATTACTAATGCACTCCTGCGTTTGGCCGCTGTCTGTGACTGCGAATGTTGTCCGATGGTGTTTATGCGGGGCATAACGTTGGCACAGCTTCTGAGACGATGTGGGGCATGTTCGTATCTTTTATCCGTTGGCAGATCCTCGCTTTGTCCCTCCTCCTCTCCCATCATTCTCCACTTGTGGTCGGTGCTTTTTTACTTTGGCATGGGCTGGAATTTTCAGCTGCCGATGGTGCGTCGCGCGTTTTTGGCAACCGCGCTGCCATTCCTCCTCTTCCTCCTCCTCCTCCGTTTCCTCCTCCTCCCCCCTCCTGTCGTAGCTGCATTATCGATTAGTTGTTCTGGCCGCGTTTCATAGCATGAGTTTGCCTACTGCAGGTCGGTTGGTGTGGTGTTCCTTGTTGCTTAGCGACCTTTGATTCGCGCTGTGGTTGTGTTGCCGTAGGGTTTCGCGTGATCAACAGATTGTATTCGTGCTGCCCTCAGCTTAGTCGTTACGCGATGGCATGAGAGCGGCAAGCTGGCGGCGCAGCGCTGCTCTTATTGGGCCCGATGTGTGAGCTTCTGGGCTGGTACCACCCCAGGTGTGCTGTCCTGCCAGAGCCATTCTGCCCGCTTATTCTGCAACCGCCAGCAGCTCGTGCGGTTCCCATCCGACCATCAGACACACTACGCAATACTGGAGCCCGTTTTTTCATTGCTTGAGGCATGACGGGCGTCACGGCCCCCGCCCCCCCCCCCGCTACGACGTAACGCTCCCCCCTCCAGTGCGCTCCGGGCACTGCCCCCCAGTGCGCTCCGAGCACTGCCGCTGTGCGCATTGAAATCCGCGTAGGTGTCCGCGTAGGAATCCGCATAGGAGTCTGGTCCGCAGTCGTCGTCGTCGTCGTCGTCGTCGTCGTCGTCGTCGTCGCTCGTGGCTTGTCGCTCGTCGCTCATAGTCGTCGGGCGCGCGGACGCGGCTGAAGCCTGTTTTTTATTCCGGGCCGATGACGGTAATCATCTAGGGGGGGGTGGAGGGGCCCGATGACGTCACGTTTCGCGCCGGCGGCGTTTGGGAATACTTAGGAATGACGGAGAACGGGTAGCGCCAGCATGTAGGTGGCGATTTGCACCACAACGCCTGTGTACACCACAGTGTCTGCGTGCACCACAGCGCCTGTGTACACCACCGCCTACGTACACCACAGCAGCCGCGTGCAACACTGCGTCAGTTTGTGCCACCGTGCCTGCGGGCACAACAGCTCTTGTGCACACCACAGCGCTTGCGTTCACCACATCAGCCGTGTAAACCACGGCGCCTGTGTGCACCACAGCAACCGTGTGCAACACAGCACCATTGTTGTATAGAGAATGTGAGAACGAATCCTTCTGACAAAATGGAGCGTTTGTGGATTCCACAGGAAACAATATAAGATAATCCTCATGGACAACGGAGCGCCGCTGGAATCGACGTGTCCTCCCGAGTCCGCCCGCATCACCCTAACTCTTCCCTTTGCGTCCAGGAGGTTCCAGCTAAATTGGCCGTCCGAGAACCAAGTGGACCGATTCACTAGACACTAGACCATTCTGTGGTGCGCGCTGAGATGCGCACGTGCGCTGTAGCGCCAACCCGCACGACAGGGGGTAAGCAGGAGGAGGAGGAGGAGGATGTGGAGGTGGAGGAGGAGGAGGAGGAGGAGGAGGGAGGAGGGAAAACCGTCGCATTCGATTATCAGCAATTTCCTGACGTGGCGTCTAGTTGTCCGCAGCAGATCCTCACGTACATGCTCCTCCTATCTGTCTTATGCACGCAGGCGTTGTGGTGTACACCAGCGCTGCGTTGCACGCGGATGCTGTGCTGTAGACGCGCGCTGTGGCGTGCACAGGCGCTGCGGTGCACGCAAGCATTGTGGTGTACACAGGCGCTATGTTGCACATGGTAGCTGCGGTGTGCACTTGTACGCCGGCGCTGTAGCGTACGCAAGCATTGTGGTGTACACAGGCGCTGGCACACGCTTGTTGCGGTGTACGCAGGCGCTGTGGTATACACGCGCGCTGTGGTGCACGCGAGCATCGTGGTGTACACAGGCGCAGTGGGCCATATCGCCACCTACATGCTGCTCGTGTCGTCGACGTCGTCGTCGTCATCATCGTCGTCGTCGTCGTCGTGATCGTCGTCGTCGTGGTCGTCATCGTCGTCGTCATCGCTCGTCGCTCGTCGCGTCGCGCGCGCGGGCGCGGCTGCGGTGCCGGAGCCACACGGCAGGGGGGTCGTTACGTCATACCCCCCCCTTGCCCCCCCCCCATGACGCCCGTCATCGCCGAACATAAAGAAACGCGCTCCTGCCTGTGCGGGCCCGCGTATTCCAGCCCTGCGCCACCTAGTACGCGCTGTCTCCCCCTCCTTCTCCACCTCCTCCTCCTCCTCCTCCTCCTCCTCCTCCTCCTCTCCCCCTCCTCCTTGTCCTCCTCCTCTCCCCCTCTGTTTCTCTTCTTCTTCTTCTTCTTCTTCCTCTACCCCTCTTCCCTTCCCCTCCCTCCTCCGCCCCTCCCCTTTTAACATGATTTCTAGATTGTGATCCGACTTAGTGCGCAGTGAGTGCACTTGAGTAGCCTCGACCTCTGTTCTGTAGAATTCGTGGTCGCTCAAGGTCCCGGACTGGGGCTCTTAGGCGATAGTTGTGCACCACCGTTTGATGGCGTTCACCATTATTTTGTTTGCCTCTTCTTGCTCGGCTTAATGTGTGCTTTTGTTTGCCTGACATTTTGCCTGACATGGGGGATTCTGCACACCGAGGTCGATGCACGTGTCAGGGCGCGTGCTCGTGGAACAGTCGAAGTACACATTCTGATTTGAATTTTCCGCCTTTCACTCTCACGCAGGGCTAGTTGTCGGATGGTTGCGGTCTTTTGCTCCTCGCTCCTCAGTGCGCGCTTTAGTTTTCGCCTCGCATAGTCTCCTACCGCGTCTGTTTTTGATTCCGCATCTCTGGGCTACTACCGGCTAGCTCCCTGCGGATTGAGTTGACCAGTAAATTGTTGCTACAGCATTTCGTAGGAGCGCAACATCGCCACCACAGCACTTGCACAGCAACACTTCACTGCGACACGAGTTTCGATTTCGCCAGGGTGCCAGAGGAGCTCAACCCTGTTGCGGGTTGCTAGCACTCTCGCGCCTTCGACTTGGTGTATCAATCATCCTACTCTTCGCGCTCCCTGACATGGCCTCCGCCGTACTCGAGCAATTGTCTGAGACATTCTGCCCTCACCCTTATGTGCAACCCTCCACCTGCTGCCGTCCAGCAGTTACCACTTCCCACCTCTCGGTTGTTATCCGTAAGGGCTTCGCCTCCTGCCGCCGGCCCCCTCTCTCGGAGAATGGGCCATGGAAGAGCGGAGTCATGAGGCTTTGGCTTTGCCGTGAAGCAGTGTCGGGACCTATTTTTTTTTCGACCCTGACCCTGCCGATCTGCGTGAGGGGTGCCGCCGATTTTCAGATATGTGGCAAATCCCTTGTGGTTTTGGACCCTGACCCGACGGATCTGCATGGGGGGTGCCACCGGATTTGAGAAATGCTGCAAATCCTTTCTGTGTTTTTTGGCCCTGGCCCCGCCGATCGGCGTGAGGGGTGCCACTGAATTTCAGAAATGTGGCAAATTCTTGGGGCGCCTTGTCGGGCCGCTGCGGAAGCGCTCCTGCTCGCGCCGGCTCGCACGGAATGTTTGTCGGGCCGCTCCGGAAGCGCCCCCGCTCGTGCAGGCCCCCGCGGAATGTTCGTCGGGCCGCTCCAGGGGCGCTCCGGCTCGCAGGCCGAGCGTTTGGAAGCGCTTGGGCGCGCCTGGGGGCGCCTCGGCTTGGACTTCGGGCCTGCCGACGCCGCGCTCGAGCCTGGCAAATCTGGCAGATTCTGGCCGACCTGGCAAAATGTCAGTGGCCCCACAAAAACGGCTCCCAATACTAATACACATTTTCTTTATGATTTGATCTTCTTTTGGGCTCCGGTACGTCCCCGGCCCAATTTCGGGCGGCCCGCTCGTGCCAGCTCGCACGGAGTGCTCGACGGGCCGCTCGGGGGGCGCTCCGGCTCGCGCGGAGCACTTGGGCGCGCCTGGGAGCGCGCGGGAGCGCCTGGGCTTGGATTTCGCGCCTGCCGACGCCGCGCTCGAGTCTGGCAAATCTGGCAGATTCTGGCCGACCCGGCAAGATGTCAGTGGCTCCACAAAAACGGCTCCCAATACACATTCTTTGATTATTTAATATGGTTTTGGGCTCCAGTACGTTCCCGGCCCAATTTCGGGCGGCCCGCTCGTGCCAGCTCGCACGGAGTGCTCGTCCGGCCACTCCAGGGGCGCTCCCGCTCGATTCGGGCGACGGATCTGCGTAAGGGGTGCCGCCGGATTGTAAGAATGTTACAAAATCCCATTGATTTTGGACCCTGACCCCGCCGATCTGTGTGAGGGGTGCCAGGACATTTCAAGAATGTGGCAAATCCCTTTTGTTTTTGGACCCTGACCCCGCCGATCTACGTGATGGGTGCCACCGAATTTAAAAAATGCGGCAAATCCCTTGTGTTTTTGGGCCCTGACCCCGACGGATCTGCATGGGGTGTGCCACTGGATTTGAGAAATGCTGCAAATCCTTTCTGTGTTTTTGGACCCTGACCCCGCCGATCGGCGTGAGGGGTGCCACCGAATTTCAAAGATGTGGCTGATCCCTCGTGATTTTGAATCATGACCCCGCCGATTTGCATGAGGGGTGCCGCCGAATGTCAGGAATGTGGCAATTCCTTTTCGTTTCTGGACCCTGACCCCGCCGATCTGCGTGAGGGGTGGCACCGAATTTCAGAAATGTGGCAAATTGTTTGTGTTTTTGGACCCTGGCCCCGCCGATCTGCGTGAGGGATGTCAGTTTGCCCCCCCAGGAATTCTGAGAACCCTCCCGGGGGGTGCTAACCAGGGTCCTTTTCGGCTCCCCCCCTCGCGCGGACAGTAACAATTTATATTAGGAAGCAGAAAGCAGCACTGTAACAATGGAGACTGGAAGCTGGAAGTGACGCAGGGAGCAGCAAACCTAATCCTCGCAGCCTGATGGCCCCGCAAGGGGGCCGGCGGATAACACGTTCACTCTCTTACTTGCAGCCTGCGCTGCCACTTGGCGCCCACGTGGACTTCTCAGCTTGTCCTCTTATCGTTACCCGCTTCCTGTTCCTCTCGACTGCTGCTGTTTTAGGTTGCACTCTTGTTTTACATCACGTTCGCGCGCTACAGCCATGCGGTGGTTGACATTGGTCTAGCCTGCACGAGGAGGAAGAGCTGGAGGCGGAGAAGCAGGGAGTAACCGTTTCTTCCGTAGTCGAGTCACGCACCTAGGTTACCTCGGCGGGTGAAGGTGTCCGTCAGGGAGTTGGCAGTGTGAAGGGCAGGACTTTACGGCAGCAGGAACAGTATAAGTAGTAGCAGCACGAGGAGGTCCCATACCTCCGATGTCGTTGTTTCCTGCTTGTTCTCCATCCCCCCCTCCCACCCCACCCTACTGTATGGGCCTGGAGTTCTCGACCAAATCCTTGGATTGTTTCTTTCGTCGCGAGTCGTCTTGTATCAGTCGCGGAGCATTGCATCGCAACGCATGGAGGTATACATGGCGAACGCAGATAGCCCGTCGTGATGATTGTTTTTTTGCGACGCCACGGGCGTCCGAAGGGTGGGAGGCCCCGCTCCCCCAGGTGGCCCTCGCCAAGGCGCGGACCGATCCACTGGCCGGCGTGAACGACCCAGCGGGAGGCGGCAATGGTGGCAGGAAGCGGAGGACGCGGCAGCGGGGGGGGCTCTTTGGGGGGGGGGGGGGGGCAGGGAGGGGAACGGGGGGACACGGGCGATGGGGAGAGGGAAGGACGGATGGGGGCAAGGGGGAGAGGGCAAGCCAGGTGCGCTCGCGCCACATCTGACATCCGACCCCTCCCACCCATCCCTTCCCACGGCGCTGATTTGTCTCTGTCCGCCGACGGGCGACATGGCAGACCTGGAACCTCCCGAAGGACACCATCGCTATGATGCGCAGCCAGAAAAGGAGAGCTGTGCATATGAGCGCCGTGTGGCGACGGGGAGGGAGGGGAAGGGGGATGACAATTGACTAATGGGATGCTGCATATAGCCCGCCCGCTCACCCAGCCACATAGTGCGCGCCTCCTTCGCAGCCTCCATCGTGGTTAGCGACGGTAGCTAGTTGACAGGTCCAACCATGCACTCTAACGCGTGGAAGCCAATCGCGCGGGGCCATACATCGCGCGGGCCCGATACCAACGGGCGGGTCGGGCCGGCGGGCCGCAACCGGCGGGTTGGGCGGGCGGGCCATAACGGGCGTGACGGGCGCACGTGTCGGGTCGGGCGGGCCATGTGTGAGGTCCATCGCGCAAGACATCGACGCGTGCAATCTTATCGTACGTGGGACTTCATGCCCAGGGCCGCGAGGCGCCCCCACGCGAGCCCCGGAGGAGGGATGCGGGAAGAGAAGCTCATCCCTGCATGCCCCCCGCCCCTCCGTCGCTTCCCCCCCGTAGCCAATCGATTCCGTCGGCCACGGCCTCACCCACTTGCTTTCCCAGTGCTCCCCGGCGGCAGATGAGGTTGGTCCAGCCCTAGCTGTTAAGTCCCCATTTCTATAGACCTCAGAGCAAAGGGTTTAATGCGCGCGGGGTTGGCGGTCGGGCGAACCCCCTCCACCTTATCCACGTCATTCAGCAGTTGCCCTTCGCCGAGCCCACTACAGAGTCATACTCGGTTGGGAGAGCTCTCGTCTCGCAGCTCGCCGAATGGTGTCCGAGTCTTCCTCGTCCTCGCAAGACGGTGGAAGAGTCGGAGGAGGAGTCGGGGGAAACCGCTGGAGGAGGGGAGGATGGATGATGATGGTGGTGATGGTGATGGTGATGATGGTGATGATGATGCTGGTATTAAGGATAATAGCAGTGGTGATAATGATGCTGCTGTTGCTGCTGATGACGACGAGGGAGGGAGGGAGGGAGGGAGGGAGGGAGGGATGGGGGAGAGGGAGGGAGGGAGGGAGGGAGCGAGGAAAGGAGGAGGCGGAGAAGGAGGAGGAGAAGTATGATGATGGTCGTGGTGGTGGTGGTGGTGGTGCCCCAGAGGGACGGGTGAGGGATTGTGTTGCCCCAGGGGGATGGTGGAGGGAAGAGGGACGGGGAAAGCCAGGCCGCGGAGTGGATGTCCTCGCTCTCAGAAGAGTAAAGGGTACACGCCGGTCGTTGAAAGTGGACATTTTTGGAGTCCCAGACCTCAATCTACTTCAGGTGCCTTCCTAGAACAAGAACCGATATGCCTTTGCTGTGTTTTGTTGTTTACTGGGAGGGCCTGAATTCAACCTACTTGACCCGCCTTCCTACTCTATGTTTTTACTTCTTCCGACCGACGTGTACCCATAGGTGAACGATGGGGCCTGGGGCTTTGGTCGTGATTTTCGCGGTGCTTTTTTCTCGCACCGCACGATTTCAGGGAAGGTGCGGATATTGCTATACCCTCCCGTTGTTTTTCCCCATTCTGGGCCTCCGGGGATACCCTCGCCGCCACCGCTGGATTCGCCTCGGAATTCTGGTCAGAACGCACCCGAGGAGAGGTCCGGGGAGTAGCCGTAACGGTACCTTTTGGTTTTTGTTCAGCTTTCCAAGCCAAGGCCAACCATGGTGACGCTGCAAGCGAGGCCTCCCAGGAGGCGGCTAGGGCCTCCGGACCCCAGCTCCGATCCGCTCACGGGAGCACACTGGATGATGGCCGTCTTCGCAACGCTGAGCGAGTTCAGCAGTGGCGAAGCTCCGGAGGGTCATGGACCTGGCCGGTCAAGTCCCTGCGCGGCAGGCTCCAGGCGGGAGGCGATCACCTACCAGTCAGCAGCCAGGCGCCACGAATTGGTGCCCTTTCGCTGCCACCGCCGAAGTAGTATTTCTGAATAGTAGAGCCCTCCAGGAGGGTGCCTGGGAACATGACGCTGCTCTTCATTTCGAAAACCACCTGCCGCAACCTGTTCGTAATGAGTAGGTCGGCTCCATCATGGCCGACACCACCTCCTTGACGCTGGCATCCGCGAGGGGCCCGCGCGCCGTCTCGAGGCACGTGGACCCAAGCCCAGCGCACCCCGGCCGCCGGGCCGAGACGGCTAGCAGGAGGATGAGGAGGACAACTGTAAAGCCAATAGTCTTCAATGTTGGAATTAACCCTCCCTCCAAGCTCCCTTTTCATAGGTCCCACAACGGTTCATTTCCATTGATGGAACTGCCTCGTTGGAAGACAACATTCTGAAGATCCTAAAGCATGCCAAGACATTGTTCTCGGGGTTTCAAAGCCACGTATCAACCTGACTGCTGCATCTTGACGATCCGGAATTGTGCCAGAGCGCCATTTTTGGAACCTCAACACCGCGAATCAACATAATTGTTGCACCCGCATAGTCTTGAATCCGTCCAAAACATTACTTCTGGTATGCTGATCATGGGAATCCGTGAAACTCTTGCAAGTTTTGAAAACGAATGTGCGCGGCGCTGAGGCGAGGGCCACATTTTGAAAAGGAACCGCCCTCAATCCGTGAAACTCCGGCAAATTTCTAAAACGAATGTGCGCGGTGCTGAGGCGAGAGCCACATTTTGAAAACGAACCGCCCTCAATCCGTGAAGCCCTTGCAAATTCTTAAAACGAATGTGCGCCTCGCTAAGGCGAGAGCCACATTTTGAAAACCACCCGCCCTCAATCCGTCAAGCTCTTGCAACTTTTTAACACGAATGTGCGCGGCGCTAAAGCGAAAACCACATTTTGAAAACGACCCGCCCTCCATCTGTGAAACAGTTGTCACATTTTAAGCTTCAGAGTCGTAAGTGGGGAGGAAGTTTCGGGCGAAACGCCCGGCCCGCCCTAAAAACTGGCTTCGGGGTTCGACAGGGAGAAGTATCTTTAACGATAAGGAATGGAGGAGGAGGAGGAGGAGGAGGAGGAGGAGGAGGAGGAGGAGGAGGAGGAGGAGGAGGAGGGAGGAGGAGGAGGAGGGAGGGAAGGAAGGAGGTGTCAGGGGGAAGGGGAGCAAGAGGAGCAGGGGAGGAGGGTGCGGATGAGGAGAAGCCAAGTTTCCCCCTCCCGCTTTTCTCGCCCATTCCCTCCCCAGGGCTCCGCAACATGGCAGCGAGAGAGCGAGCAAATGTGCGACTGGTGGTGGAAGATGCCACAGCCATGTACCGCGCCGACGCGTGCGTGCAGCTCCCAAGTCGTGCTGGCCGTAGACGGCTCCCAGACTCGAACCAGTGCATTTTGAAGAGTGCAGTGACTCTGAGGAGTTCGCTCAGATGACTGCGGTGACGAGCACCATGACCAGAGCAAATCTAGCACACACCACTGGCTCTGCAACACGCGCTCCCGTCCCAATCCGGGGGAGCAGGAACGAGCGGAGGAGGGCCTCCTGCTGCGGCCTTGCCCGTCGTGATCCTGTTCCTCCGTCCCCTGCTCCACCTCGCCCCCCACCTCCTCCTCCTCCTCCTCCTCCTCCTCCTCCTCCTTCTCCTCCTCCTCCTCCTTCTCCTCCTCCTCCTCCTGAGGCCCATGCTAGGTTCTATAAGGCCTCGCTGGCCGAGGCGGCTCAGTACGCCAAGTATCTGTCGTGGGCGGTCCAGAGAAGCTGTCAGCTCGAGCTGTGGGCTGAGAAGGCAGTCCTGTCGGCCGCCCCGAGCAGAGCGCCCAAGGCAGATGTAGGCAGAATGGTGCTGCTAATACACGAGCATGACCTCATTGAAATTCGAGGGAAGCTCATGTGCCGTCGCTGCCGCCGAACGGCGACAACCGCTGAAACGCGCAGGCAGCTGACGGGGGGCACGGATCGTCGGTGCGTGCCTTCTGCGATTTCTCGTATGCAGGCGAATCTGATCGAGGCTGCTGCCAGGGCCTCTGTGAGGCCGCCCGCCGCCCGCTGGGGGTCTGTGGGGGGGCCGCCTAGTGGCCCTGGGGGTGCCCGTGTGGTGGTGGCCTCGGCTGGGCCCGCTCCCGCTGCTGCGAGGCTTGGGCCTGCTGGGGCTGGGGGCTCGGCTGGGACTTCGGCTGGCGCTGGTTCTGGGGGCTCGGCGTCTTCGGCCTCTGAGGAGGCTGCGTGCGTGGGGCCTGTGCCTGCCCGCGAGGGCGAGGCTGGGGTTCCCTTGGGGTGTACTGCGGGCTCTGTGGAGCCTGCGGTGGCGGATTGGGGTCACGCGCCTGGGGGACACGACGTTACCGCCACGGGTACGGTCGTCTGGTGTCGGCGGTGCGGGGCCTACGGGTCTGTCAGGGTGGGGCAGGCCTTCAGCTCCCCCTGCCCTGACCCCAAGGACTTGCCCAAGAGCAGGAGGTCAGTCCTCAGTGCTTTGCAACGTGGCAAGCACCCCAAGACTGGGCAGTCCCTCACTGGGTGACTGATTGTCTGGGGCTTTCACCTTCCGTAGAGTGGTGTCTGTGAGCAGACGCTTTCTCGTCACCAGTTCCCAGTTCCTCCTCCATCTCGCCCCCCACCTCCTCCCCCTCCCCGCCCCCCCCTTCGCTCCGGAGTGGCAGCCGCAGCAGCGGCCGCAGCCGAAGCCGCAGCACCGGCAACAGCGGGAGCCGCAGCGGCAGCCGCAGCCGCAGCCGCAGCAGCCGCGGCGCGCCGCGGTCGCAGCGGTCTGCGTCGCCGCAGAGGTCTTCCGCCGCCTCGAGCCCCTCGCGCCACCTCGCCGAAGCTCAGAAGATGGCGAGCTGAGACAGCAGGCTAGTTTCGGGTTTTCGGTTCGAGTCTTTCACATGTCTTCATTGTTTTTTGGCGGGCTTCCCAGCCTCGGCATGCCTTCCATCAGCTGCGCCTCGCCGAGACCGTTCCGGGGTTGCCCGGATCGTCCCGAGCTGCCGCCGGAGCCGGAGGGCCGAGCTGTGAACCAAGAACCGACGGCAACGATGGCGGCGACGGCGATCAGAGGAGGGCGAGCTGAGACTGCGGCAGTTGGCCTTCGGGGGGCGGCCCTCGCCGCCACGGCTGGACGCAGCTCGGAGCACCGGTGCGTTGGGATCCCAGGAGGGGTCCGGGGGCCGGTGTTGAGCTGCCGTTGCCGCGGCTCGCTGTGCTCCAAGGCGCGTCGCAGGCAGGGCGCACTGGCCGCTGGGCGTTTCTGGGAGGGCTGGCGCGGCGGACGTCGGGCAGTCGCAGGGAGCCTGCACACGGGGCGCTCCAGGGAGGGCCTGGGCTTCGAGGGGTCGAGGAGTCGATCTCTCTTCCTCGGCGGGAGGCTGCGGAAGGCCGGCGGGCGCCCGCGGAAGTCAACAGCAGGCTGGCGGCCAGGTCCGCTGACGGGAGCAAACAGTTGCCGGCATCTTTCCTTCTGTTTCGAGTCGGAGTTCATGGAGTCGCCCACATCGTTCCAAAGCCCTCACTGATCGTGCCGAAATACTCTGGAGCGACCAGGGCGCCCGCTGCATCCAATGGATTCGCTGTATCCTGGAGGTCCCAGGGTCAACTCCGTGCCCGTGCTGACTGTGCCCGGCCCCCGTCTCGGGACGGCTCGGAGGGCTCCGGCGGGCGAGCAAGTCCAGAGCGTCCGGAGGGGAGGATTTCGGGCCCTCGCTCTCAGGCCCCCCGCAGGCCCTGGGCCAGGACACAGGAAGTTCCACCACTGGAGAGCGAGTCATGGAGAATGCTTCGACCCGCGGCTGCAGTGCTTCTCGGGCGCGCCAGTGTCCTGGTTTATCAGAGTCCCCGTTCAGGGGGCCCCTTGCGCTCCTGGGTCTGTCAGGACAGCACGGTCCAGCCACGAGAAGCGTGGCCTCTTCGGGTGATGGAGTGTCGATCAAATCTTGGCAGGTCAGGCCTCAGTGAGAAGTCGGCTCCCAGTCGAACATGGCCAGTCCAGGGTCTCATTTCCAATGCATCGAATGTTCCAGTACTCTTGTTTCGGGCTGGAGCCGTTCGCAGTTTGACCATCTCGGGGCTTCGTGGAGAAGCCTGTTCGCCATTTTTCATACAGGCTCATTTGTATCTGAGTTTCGGGGTTCACCGTGCACTAGTATCATATTTCGCCCTTTGCTTGCATCCATCGTAGTCCATGCCTTCCTTGATGGTCGTTGCAGATTGAGCTACACTCCTGATGGTGTCGATGATGGACAGCATGCACCCTTACATGCACTATTGGTCGTAGCTGGGGTAACAAGGGACACGTGCATGAACATGTATGGTCTGGTCATTGAGTATACTGTTGTTGTATAGGGCTGGGGAAGTCTACTGCCTGCGAAGCCCCGCCCCCGCCGCCTCGCGAAGTGTCGAGTTCCCGTGTGAACGTGCAATGCCCATGGGCGCGCGTGGACACTGAAGCGCCCGAACGAGAGCATAGCGCGCGTGCGTCGCCAAGGTTCGCGCAGCTGCGTCACGATGAGAACAAGCGTATTCTACCGCTGCTGGCGGAAAACCGGGGGGTGTCACTGCGGGTTCCCAACCCGTCCCCCCCCCCTCGAAAACCGGGGGTCGTTCACTACCTGTTCGACCCCCCCCCCAAGTCCATCATGTAAGGGGGGGGGTCACTACCGGTTCGAACCGGGGATGGTGGTGGTGGGGACAGTGGTGAGGGGACAGCGGGACAGTGGTGGGGACAGTGGGACAGTGGTGGAGACTGTAGTGGTGGGGACAGAGGTGAAGGCGGTTGTGAGGACGGTGGTGGGACAGTAGTACAGTGGGGAGAGTGGTGGGGACTGTGGGACTGTGGGGACTGTGGTGGGGACAGTGGGGACGGTGGTTGGAACAGTGGGGACAGTGGTGGGGACAGTGGAGACAGTGGGACAGTGGGAAAGTGGTGGGGACCGTGGGGAAAGTGGGGAAAGTGGGACCGTGGTGGGACAATGGTGGGGAGAGTAGGGACTGAGAGACGCTGGTGGGGGCACTGGTGGGGACAGCGGGAACAATGGTGGGAACAGAGGGGACAGTGGGACAGTGGTGGGGATTGTGGGACAGTGGTGGGGACGTTGGTGGTGGGGACAGTGGTGTGGGGACAGTGGGAATGTGGTGGGGACAGTGGGACTGGTGGGGACAGTGGTGATGGCGGTGGTGAGGACGGTGGTGGGACAATGGGACAGAGGTACAGTGGGGACAGTGGTGGGAACAGTGGGACAGGTCAGTGGGAAAGCGGCGGGGACAGTGGGACAGTGGGGACAGTGGGACAGTGGTGGGGACCGTGGAGGAAGTGGGAAGAGTGGGACCGTGGTGGGGACAGTGGTGGGGACAGTGCGACAGTGGTGGGGGCACTGGTGGGGACAGTGGGGACGGTGGTTGGAACAGTGGGGACAGTGGTGCTGGGGACATCAGTTGGGGATGTGGTGCGGACGGTGGTGGGGACCGGGAGTCGTACCTCGGCGGTGAGGGGGGGGGAACTCGAACCGGTAGTGACCCCGCCCCCTCGGTTTTCTGGAGGGGGCGGGGTCGAACCGGTAGTGACCCCCCTTGGTTTTCTCTGGAGGAGGGGGGACCGGTTGTGACCCCCCCCCGGTTTTCCGGAGGGTGGGGGGGAGGGGTTAGGGGGGGAGATGGGCCGTGGGGAAGGGGGGGTCCAGCAGGGGGGGGGGATGTTCGAAGGGGGGGGGGGGCCCGGGTTCCGGAGGAAGAGGGGGGGGGGGGAATTTTCCACAGTAAAGCGGCGGTGGATCACGCTCTCTCTGAGGACAGGGCACGCAGTGTCGACTCCTGCTGAGAAGCTGCGCGCCAGGAAGGCACGCTAGGCACTGGCCATGCGTTCCGCACTTGCCCGGCACAGCATCCCAGCGATTGTCCGAAGCCGAGGCCGCGCGAGGCAGCGAAGTCGCGCGTAGTGTTTTTGACAGCAGTCACACGCTTGGTGGCTCGGGTGTTTTTGTTTTCCCCGCGCGGTTGTCTTGCTTTTCGCATCTTTCCGAACCCTCCGTTGGGTTCTCGTGTCGAACAGAGAGCATCGCGGTCTCTGGCCTTCGTACTCCCGCCTCCCTCCTGCTCTCTCAACCTGTCTTCCCACTGCTTCCTGCCTGCCTCCTACCTCGCCATGCCTTGGGGGCTGCGAAGTGCGAAACCGTCGCCACTTTCGAAGGCTGCTGGGGGTCCAGCGCGGCACGGGCCTCCAGGATTCATATTCGAACTCGCCATTCATGGAGAGCTGCGATTCGCGAAAATGCCGCCGCTTTCGAGGGCTGCTGGGGGGGGCCAGCGCAGTGACGTCAAACCCAGACTCAGATTAGACCTCGCCATCCCAGGGTATCTGCGATGTGTGAAACTGTCGGCACTTTCGAAGGCTGCTGGGAGGTCCCAGCGCGAGCCTCCATCACGTCCTTGTCCTTCGATCGGTTTCCTACGAGTCGTGCAGCGCGCGAGCCGCCCACGTAACTTTTCGCGAAATATGGTGGTTCTTGCCGTGCGATCATCCCAAACCATTCTTTCCAACTATTCCGACCACTTCTTGCGCAAGCGTTGGATACGTCGCCAGGGTAACTTTAAGGTTTCTGTGTGTTCCAAGTGTTCAAGACTTGGTATAGGGTCTCGCTGACATGGCAGAAATGTGTGGGGAATTCCCCAAAGCACAGAAATTCTCAATCTTATCAATACCTGGTGTGGGTTTACTGCGCCGGTTGATGGCGTGACCTCTTGGCCCGCACCCCGCACGACGGTCGAAGCCTTACGCGCGTTATCAGCATATCGACTGGCAAATCAGAATTGCTGTTCGCGTGTGCTGCCCGGTGCGAACGAAACGACGCCCCGATGGGGGTGTAGTTGATGTTCCACGCGCCTGCTCCGACGGTCATTTCCAGGAGCGGTTCAGACTTGTCCGCTCCTCAGCCTGGCCCTGTACAATTCATGCGCCCGTGTTCGTACGACACGTATGATCTATGGTAGTTGAGTTCGATTGAAAGTGCGGTACATGATTGGCGGTACGTGTGATAAGTTTGGTCAATGTGTTGTGCTTTGCTATGTTGTGTTGCGCTGCATCGCAATGCTTAGTGATGTGGTGTCTGATCTTGAATTCGATTGATTTGTGCGGCATTTTGTTAGCCTGTTAGCCCCCCATCTCGGGTGAAGGATAAGCGGCACCACATCCACCACCAGGGGGGTCACCTCCAGCGATGAGGTCCACGGTGCCTCCCCGAGCTGGGGACAGGGGATGTCTCGAACGAGAGGGATGGGGCGCGCGCATGGCACACGGAGGTGTCCCAACTGGTCTGGCATCACATGGAATTGTGACGCCAGCCTTCACACAGCGCCTGGGCTTATGTGCTCTTGCTTTACTGCTTCCACTCTCAGTCTGTGGCTATGGCGTGGCGCACACTTCTGGGTGCCATGGGCTGCGTACATGGGTTGCTCATGGGTCGCGGCCATCGGTTATGCCACGGGTGGTGCATGCTTTTGAAGCCGTAGGATGCGCCCATAGGCTGCGCTCTGGGTTGCGGCCATGAGTTGCGCCATGGGTGGCGCATATTGTTGGGTGCAGTGGGTTACGCCCACGAGTCGCGCCCTCGTGGGCGGCCATAAGCTGCGGGGGGGGCGCAGATGTTTGGGTGCGGCGTCGGTTGCGCCGTGAGTCGCGCCGCCATGCCCTTCATATTGTTTGTGCGAAGCCATGGCCCGCTGCATATTTTTTCAATTTTGCCCGCCAGAGGAATTCTTGACGCGGCGCGGGGCGCCACGTGCCTTGCGGCCCTGGCCGTTACAGAGCTGTTTTCTCTCTGGTCTTTGCCCAGACCCCGCCACGGCCTGGAGTGGTTTCCCTGGCTCTGGCCCTTGTCTTGACCAGTACCGGCGCTTCCGCTTGCACTCCCTTGGGCCCTGGTCCCCAGACACCGCCTGGCTTGGCCGCGTCTGGCTCCCACTCCGCCCCTGGCGCTGGGCTCCATCCCCCTCAGCCTCGGTGGAGGTGCCCGTCACCTGGCCTCCAGCTTTCTCTCTGTTCCGTGGTACCGAGTGAGCCCTGGCGTTCAGGTTTCGCGCGTTCTGACCAGTTCCGGCAGTGCCTGCACTTCCCTGGCTCTGGTTGTCAGCTGGCCACTTGTTGGTACTGGCCCGCCGTTTCTTTCAGGAGTGGTTCAGCCTTCTTGTGCGGCCTGGCGTGTCACCTGGCGGTTTGCTTCCTTGTCCTTTGGCGCCCGGTGGCGACGAGGCCTAATTCTCGTGCCTGGCGATTCAGCTCCCATGGTACTCGCACGTTGCAGCATCCCAGCTGCCTCCGCAGCTGGCAGCTTCTCCCCACGGCGCAGCTCAGCCTCGTCGCTGCTGCTTCCCTCGGCGGTAGGTCTTGCCTGCCTTGCTCGGCGCGCGCGCTGGCAGTTAGGTTACAAGTAGCCCGAGCTAACTCTGCTGAGTCGGCCCCTTGGCCTGTGGCCGCGGCGGAAAAAGTATCCCCCGCCAGCCCATACAGAGACACATCGCCAGGCGCGTTGCCTTGCTCAGTGAACTGCAGAAGCAAGCAGTGTAACAACCGCCTTGAAAGTGATTTCTTTAGGTCTTTTGGAGCCATACTGGGTCTCTCCTAGGGTTTCCGCGGAGCCTGTTGGGGCACTTTTAGGGGAACCTTTTGGGGCTCTTTGGGGGGGTCTTGGGGCTTTTTGGGGGGTCCCTGGGGGGTCTGGGGGGATGCCTCTTTGGGTTGTCTTGGCCCCCGTGATTCAAAAAGGAGGGGAGTTTTTGATGTAGGCCCCCCCCCCCGTCGGAGGGTCAAGGTCAAACACTCCGTCTTGGGGCCTTCTTGACTATTAAACCGCTCCTGGAGCGCTCTTGGGCGTACTTGGGGCCCTCTTAAGATCGGAGCCATCTTGGGCCCCTCTTGGGGCTCTCTGAGGCCGTCTTGGGGTCATATTGCGGCCTCCGAGGCCCATTGGAAGCGGAAAGGCGAGAACGCAAAACACACACACACACACAGACACACACACACACACACTAATTGTCCTCAGGCTTGGGGGCCATGTTGGCCTTTGGGGAACTCCCAGGACACTTGAAACAGTCTTGGGGCCGTCTTGAGGCCTCTTGGATGTGCGTCGAAGACTATCTTCAAGTATGTTAAGCCATCTTGTAGACCATCTTGGGCTCTCTGAGGCCCTCTTGGAGCCATTTCCAGCCGCTTTATGCGCTCCAGTGGGTCGCGCCCCCCACCCCTCCCAGGCCCTGGTGAGGAGGGGGGGGGGGGAGGGGTCAACGGAGCGTACACGGAGATGTTTTCTGTACGCGACTGATTCATTATCGTTACAACATGTGCTACGTGGCGACGCGAATATCCACGATCCAATCTACGAGCCTCTTGTTTCTCGCGTGTTGGATCGGATCGTAACCCATATGTGCAATGGCTGGCGACCTCCTGACGTACATGCAGACCCTGTTCGTTGGCACAGTAGATTCCACAACCGGGTGGCGGACGGTTGGGCGGATTTCGCCATGGCTAAACGGACGTCGTGGAGCTGGCGCTACCAGACGACACTCCCAGCCGGAGTTCCAACGTCATCATCCAGTCAGGCGGAGGGCTCCGCGAAAACGATTGCGCCGTTGCAGCTTGGATCGTCGGTCTTTTGGGCGAAGCTGGTGGAGAATTTGTTTTCCAGCCGCTCGTTGCGCACGGGACGTACTTACAGCTGCCATGCACATTGTTGAAGGCTGAGGCAATCGCAGTCGACGAAACATCACGTGAGCTGCCAACCTTCATAATGTTTAAACTCAACGCGACAAGATCTGACATCTAAGTTTCTTGAGCTTGGTGAAAGAGAAATGGAGGGGTCACCCCCTCCCGCGAGCAGGGGAAGAGGACATTTTCGGCAGAGAGAAGACGCAACTCGTTAAACTACCTACGTCCAGAGGGCTGGATGGATGACCGTGTAGCGCAATTGTACCATCCATGTTGCACTGCAGTGGTGCACACCATGTCGTATGGCAGCTTCGCGCGATGCGACGCGTAGCGACCGCATTCGGCGTAGTGCGTACTACTTCAAGGGGACCCGTTGCTCCTCGATGCGATGTGGTGCAGTATGATTACAAGAAGTGCCGATGGCATGGTGGTGAGTATGCCAACGCCATGGAGCGCCATGTTGAACGTATTATGAACTAGCGTCACGTTGCAGCGCAATGCGTTGGAATTTGATTTCGAGTGGCGCAACGTACTACGGAATTTCGTTTGTCATGTGCCTAGAAAGCGTCTGGTGGCCATTTCCGGGCCATATTGGACAGTATTTGAGGTTCTGTTAATGGCCTTTTGGGCCCATCTGGGGGGCATCAAGGGGTAATATTGTGGCATTGGTTGGTCATGCTGGGCGATTGGGCGGCGTCGTGGGCCATTTTGTGGCCGCATCGTGTGGCAGTCTTGAGCGATCTTGGGGGCTTTGGGTGTCGTCTTGAAGCGGTCGTGGGACATCATGGGGGCAAATTGTGGGACAGGCAGCAGACATTTAACACACTATGGTTTTTCAATAACTTTACCTACCCTTTCGCGGGCGTTTTGGGGCCCTCCTCGGCCATCTTCGAGGCATCTTGGGGCCATGCTCGGCCGTCCTGGGCCCTCGAGGCTCGCCGCAGGGCCTCCTGGGACCGTCCCGGAGGCCTCTCGGGAGCCCGCCTGGCGGCCCCGTGGCGTCCCTGTGGGCATCCTGGGGCAGCCGAGCGCGGCCAGGAGGCCGACGAGGCTCCCCCGCGGTTTTTTGTTGCTTGGATGGTCGGTCGCGCCAGGGCTTCCTCCCCCTCCTCCCCCTCCTCCGCCTCCTCCTCCCCCTCCTCCTCCTCCGCCTCCTCCTCCTCCTCCTCCTCCTCCTCCTCCTCCTCCTCCTCCTCCCCTTGTCAGCGGCGAGCGGGGCTTCTTAGAAGCCCTCCAGCCTTCGTTGAAGCTTTCCGGCCAAGCTTGGCGGCGAGGAGAAGGCCCTCTCTGAAGGCGGCGGGGGTTCTCAGAAGCCCTCCAGCCTTCTGAGAGGTGTTCTCTTTCCTCGGGGATGGCTTAGGAACTGCTCAGAAGGCTGGGGGACTTCCGAGCCTTCTGAGAAGCCCCTCCCCTTCACTTCCCCCCTGGGCTCGCCGCCAAGCTTGGCAGACAGTAAAAAAGGGACAGGGCTGGAGAGACAAGAGGTGCAAGAAAAAGCCAGCACACATGAAACAAAGCAGCAGTCCACAACCATGCTTCACAGCCTTGTGCCCCCGAAGGGGCTGGTGGATAGTTGCATGCTACCTGTTATTTTACGCTTGGATTGTTGCTGATGATGTTGCTGTTCCTGTTCCTACTCTCCTGCACTCCCTGTGGTGAGAAGCAGGTTCCCACTTCGACACGACAGTGATGTAGATGTGAATGGATATGATGATGCTGTTCTTTACGTTACTTCTATGCCGTCGTACTCGCAACTACGCACCCCAACGTTGTGTGCCAGCCTGTGCCTGCCTGTGCCGGATACATATATGTACATACATATTATATATTGCTGTCGGTAGCTCAGCCTGGTTTGAGCACTTGCTTAAAGTTTGTGATTGCGAATTCGGCTCCTTCCCTCTCGTCCTAACTCTCCCACGCCTCCCCCTCTCTCCTCATCCACTCGGTGGCCATTTCGGATTGTTTCGGCCCGAGTTACTTTCGAGGCCTTTGTCCTGAGGCTGTGCCCGCTTGAGAGATGCGGCGCGGTCCAGGCATCGCGGGGCTGAAGCAGAGCCAGGCTTTCCGGCTGGACGGGCAAAGGGGAAACGCAGGTGATTCGATGGGGGCAGTACGTTCAAGTCTTCATTATTTTTGGCATTTCGGAAGCTGTCTGGGACGATCTGGGAAAGGGGGGCAACTTTACGATTGCTCCCGAGTTTTCACTGCCCCCCCGATCAGTCAGCGTCTACCCGACAGGCCCAGCGAAGCACCATCGCGGCTGCGGGCGACCAGTCCAAGGCTCGTGCCCGGCAGATCTTCCTCCGTCGTCGCGCCACTCGTCCTCCCGCCACCTCCCCAGCTGATCCCACCAGCTGCGCCCCCTCCACGCGAGCGACGCAGAAAGACGGGGTCGTCTGCGCCGACACTGGCGCGTACGCTGCCCGCGTAAGGTCGCGCGCAGGCGCCCTCGTTTCCAATGCAGCATGCCGCGCGGGCGGCCCGCCCAAGCTGCGGCGTAAGGTCGCTGCGTCATCTCGCTCAAGGCCCGTTTTTGATCGTCGCTCACCGGTGCTTCTGACCCCACACGCGGAGCCTCCCGTGCAGCAGCTTCCCTCCCGCGGCCGCCGCGCCGACGAGTGGAAGGCTCGGGCCTCGACCCTCGACGCTGCTCCAGGGGAGCTCCATGGGGCTTCTGGTCGGCGGTTACACATGTTTGCCTCCGATGTTCTCGCAGCCAGAAGGATCAGCTCGTGTCTCTTTGGCGCCACGTGCCTGTCTTCGGGTCGGGATGCGGCAGGAGGAGGAGGAGGAGGAGGAGGAGGCGGGAGAGGAGGAGGAGGAGGAGGAGGAGGAGGAGGAGGAGGAGGAGGAGATCAGGAGGGGACAAGGAGGGGGCGGAAGAGGGGAGGGGTGATGCAGGGGCGGACGGGGGTGATGGGGAGAGGTGAAGGAAGAAGGAAGAACAGGAGGAAGGAGACGTAAGTGGGGGAGGCAACAGTGAGTAGGGAGGAGGGAGGCGGGAGGAGTGAAGAGAGGGGGGTGAAGAAAAATAATATTGGGGAGGTGAAGGAGGGAAAGGGGAGAGTGGATGGATGGACGAGGGAGGAATGAGGAAAAAGATGTGTGAGTGCGGGGGATGGACGACGTAGGATGGGTTCGGGGAGGGAGGAGGAAGGAAAGAGGAGGGAGGAGCCTCTCTCACCCTGTCCTTCCCCTCCCCTCTCCCCATTTCCCTTCTTCTGCTCCTCCCATGTTCTTTACTGATGGTTTTACAAGCACACAGTGTGAACACTACTCTCCTCTCTCCCCTGACTCTGCCCAGGAGGTAGTTGGCCCTATGTGCGAACCGTCTTTGCACAAAGAATTCAAACGCTGTGTTCTCTGATTGTGCTTTACGCTCCGACTGTTTTCGGCGCTTCAGAATTGTGTAGCCGCTGCCGCTGCAGCCAGGGCCACATGTTCGGATCGTCGCTTTGCTCCCGTTGCTTTGAACGGCGCTCCCGCCCCAGCTCGGGCCGCTTTTTGGGATTCGAGTCCTTTCCCAGAGCCGTCGCCACCCTCATTTCCCCTCCTCCGTCTTCCCCTGGTCCTTTTGCTCCTCCCGCTTCTTCCACGCTAGCTCCTGTTGCTGCTATTTGTCCTCGTCCTCGTTATTCTTCTTCTTCCTCCTTTTCCTCCTGCTCATCCGCCACACCTCATCCTCTTCTGATGCACGCAGCTCCATCTCTCTCATGTTGCGCATGACACGATGGGGTACGTTTTGGAGTTCCAGGTCCGCTGTGGCACGCGTCGACGGGTAGAGAAACGGCGCAATGTGAAGGGATGGGTGGGAGGGGTATGGTTTCAGATATTGCGCGAGCGCACCTGGCTTGTGTTACACCCGCTCTTCCCCTCTCTCCTCTCTCCTCTTCTCGCCGTCTCATCTGCCGATTCGTCCCCTCAGCTGCTCTCCTTCTTCGTCCGAGAGATGCGCTGAGCATCAGCTCGCCATCCCATCTCCCATACCCCCCTCACCCATCACGTTCCCTTTGCACTTGTTGAGCCCGCAGAGGCGAAACCACGGCGGGCCCCTCTTCGGGAAATTTGCCCACCTTTCCGGGGAGCACCGTCGGAGCCCCGTTGGAGCTTCTTGAGCCCTCTCGGGCTCTCAGGGCCTCTTAGGGGTCTCTTTGGGTGTCAGGAGGCCTCCTGGAGCCTCTTTTTGGGGATCCTTTTGGGCCGTCGTTGGTGCGTATTTCGGCTCTGGAAAGGTTGTGCGATGCTCGCATGTGAAATGGTTTTCGCTCAACGTCGTTCTAGTTGGTTCGAATCATGTTGGTGGCTGTGACCAGTACTTTGAGACAACGCTTGGGTAGTTTTGGCGAGCCACACTTCAGCGCGAAGGGAAGGGATGGGCGGGAGGGGTAGGATGTCAGGTATGGCGCGAGCGTGCGTAGCTTGCTCCCCTCTCCTCTTTCCCCTCCTCGCCTGTCCCCTCACCGCTCCTCCTCTCCTTCTTCCTTCAACAGGGGGTCCCCTCTCCCCTCCGGCCTCTCTTCCCGTTCTCCCTTCGTTGGGGAGAGGCGGGGTTGCCCTCCCCTTTCACCCTTCCCCCTTTGGCTTTCCTCAGCTGGGGAGAGGTGGGAGGCAGGTGGTGGGCGTAGCCGCATTGACTGAACAAACTTCGCGAGGCTGCGCAGCTGGCGGATGCCAAGGCCAACTTCGAGGTCCTTCGGGCCAAGCTGACGGAGTTCGCGCAGAAGCACCGTAGCCGCATTAACTCCGACCCACAGTTCCGCCAGGCCTGCCTGAGATAAGAGGGAGAGAGAGAGAGAGAAAGAGAAAGAGCGCGAGAGCGAGAGAGAGAGAGGGGCATAGAGAGAGAGAGAGAGAGAAAGAGAGAGAGAGAGACAGAGCGAGGGACGGCAAGAGAAACACTTTCGCGCACACGCACACGCATACGCATACGCATACGCATACGCACACGCACACGCACAAACACACACACACACGCACGCATATGTTTCTTGTGAACGGGCCGATGAGACACCAATCGAGCGGTTGATGCATTTGGAGGCGATTGAGTCACTGAAGCTTTTGGGCGCGCATTTGGTCGCAAAGATCATGCACGAACCGAGTCCAGCTTAATCTCGAAACGTCGAGACAACTTGTGCGAGGTAGATACAGACCATGGTTGAGGCAGGTTCGCCCACAACCATCCTAAAGTAAGGCAGCGCCACGAAGGTGCCAAGATGTCAGTCCTAGAACAAGCTTTGCTGCCACAAGGGGGGGGGTGGTGCAAGTGGAGCGGCGGCACTCAGCGCTTAAGGCGCGAATCAGGCGCCTAAGGTTGCAACCGAGCCCTACCCCCTCTTCCTCTCCTCCTCGCCTGCTTCGTCTTCCTCTCTCGTCATCATCCCCTTTCTTAACTATTTCCCCTCTCCTCCAGTTCCTCCTCACCTTCTCCTCCTTGTCCTCCTCCGTTCCTTCTCCTTATACATGACCTCTTCCCTGTCGCGTATTTGTCCCCACTGTTATTCTGAACGAGTTGTGAGCACAAAACAAATCATGATGGTTGCCTGATAACGCGAATGCGCGGGCGTCGAAGGCGACGGCGGCGGCGCGTGCGCCGACGGAGACGGCGACGGCGGCAGCGGCGACGGTGGCGACGACGAACATCGCGGCGACGGGGCCCCGGGCCCACGGGCAAACTTTCGCCCCGCCATTGCTCCTGGAGTCTCCGGCCAGATTTCATGGGAGGGGGGGAATTGTTGCGCGCAGTTTTGCCGCGGCCGTTCCTCCGCTTTACTACAGCACCTTTTTCGCCTGAGTAAAACGTCGTTTGTTGGAGTGTATCGAGCGGCGCGCCTTTACTGAAGCCGTTTCCTCGCTTTATTAAAGCCGCTTCTTCGCTTTAGTGAAGCCGCTTTTCCCCTTCAGTAAAGCCGTTTCTTCGCTTCAGTAAAATCCGCGGTCTGCCTTGATAAACGCCTGGGGATGCGGTGGTGATGCGGGGCCAGGGCCCGGTCGGGGGGCGAGGGGCCCGTGTCTTTCCTGCCGATTCACCCCACGATGCAGTTGTTCAAGTAGTCAGGGTTGCGTTACATCGGGTCGCGGCGTCCCTTGGTCATGCTTTCAGCGAGTTGTAGATGTTCCTTGACAGAAGATTCAGGGCGCGAGCGCAGGGCGCGGCTCGGCAATTCGGACGCGCCGCCGCGGCAGTTTACTACAAGGCTTGTTTCCTTTAGCAAATAGCTCCTTCGAAGTAATCGTGTGAAATTACCGCTTTCAGCCACAGGTGGAGAGTGGTCCGTTTTCAACGTGTGGCTCTCGCCGTAGCGCCGCGCACATTCGTTGCCAATATTCGCAAGGGTTTTGCTGACTCTGGGCGGCCCGTTTTCAAAATGTGGCTTTCACTTTATCTCCGCGCGCATGTTTTTTAAAGAACTGCAGGAACTTCACGGATTGATGGCGTTCCGTTGTCAAACTGTGGTTCTGGTTTTAGCGCCGCGCACAGTCGTTCGAATAATTGCAAGAGCTTCACGGTTGTAGGGCGCTTGTTTTTCAACATGTGGTTCTGGCGCCAGTGCCGTTCAAATTCGTTTCCTCATGTTGCAAGAGTTAGTGCAATTCTCATGCCTAGCGCCCCAGTCGTGGTATGTTGGAGAAATGTATGGGTGTCAGGGCGCGACGGTTACGTATAATCGCGGCGTTGAAGTTCCAGGATTGGCGCTTTGGCTTGGTTCACGATCGTCAAGGCGCAGCAGTCAGCTTGACTCGTGGCGTTCAAGTCCCGGTCATGGTGTTCTGTTTGGTGCGGTTCAGGATTTTCGCACGGCTGTCTTCAAACGACATTTCACCCGTGGACATTGATATTGGGAGAGACTTGTGAACAGGGGGCTTGGAGAAAGGGTTTACTGCAACAACATTGATGGGACTTGGGCCTGCATTGGTCCTCCTTCGTTTCCTTTTCTTCCTCTTTGTCCTGCTCCCCTTCTCCCTCCTCCATGCTCACTCCCTTCTCCCTCATCCCTCCCTCCTCCCTCCTCCTTCCTCCCTTTTCCCTCCTCCCTCCTCCCGCTCCTCCGCTCCCTCCTCCGCTCCTCCTCCCTCCTCCCGCTCCTCCTCGCCCGCCGCAGACGCCGCTGTCCTCGTCGTCGCCGCCGTCGTCGTCGCAGGCCTTCTGCGAAATGTGCGCGGCGGCGGGCGTCGACCCCCTCGCGAGCAGCAAGGCCCTGCGGCCGCCGGGCCATCTCAGGGGGGCGGGGGGGCCCAGGCCTGCCAAGTGGCCTCTTCCTAAAGCAGATATCCTCCTCCTCCTCCTCCTTCTCCTCTTCCTCCTCCTCCTCCTCTTTCTCCTCTTCCTCCTCCTCCTCCTGCTCCTCCTCCTCCTCCTCTTCTCCATCTTCTTTCTCCTCCATCCTCCGCTCCTTTCCTGCTCCATCCTCCTTCCCCCTACTCAATCCTCCTTCCCCCTCCTTCCCCCTCCGCCTTCCCCACCCCCTTCATCCCCCCTGTCCCCCCCACTCCTCCTCCTCCTCCTCCTCCTCCTCCTCCTCCT